AAGTTATTTTCGCTGTTAACTGACGATTGATTTATCTTTTTATACCATTGATTCGTTAAGTTTTTTAAGAGTCTTCCTGAATAATACATTACTAGAAATCTGATTTGCATCCGTGTAGACATGCTCCATATTTAGAAGTTTCAGGACAAACTTAACTGAGTTTAACCAATCATTTTGATCTCCTGGGAGCATTCTGACTTCGTTAAACGCCAGGTTAATCAGTGAGTTATCACTAAGGGTGGCGATTCTGTGCCAGAAATTCATCATTGTGGCTAACAAGTAGATTAAGCCTGGTTTCCATATCGTCGTAAGCGACCAGGACGTGTCCCAGCAGAGGATTGGTGATGCTGCTGCGACGCTTACGATGATATGGAAACGTGTTTTATAGTGATGTCCCCGATGTCCCCGTCATGTCGCCGACGTCCCCGTAGAGATAAAAAATGTTGAACTATGTTCAACTTTTAGAACATCCCCGATGCATCGCCGTTGTGTCCCCGTCGATGCGGGGACAGTTTTCCAAATGGAAACCACACACTTGTGATCGGCGACATCGGGGTAGCTCAATTATTCACTTCGAGATTGATAATAGTGCATTGGAGACTCTAGCAAAATGGCTACTCGAAGCTCTAGAGCTACAATCTTTGTTCAATCCTTCCTGAGATGCAAACATTGTCCTACCTGAAAAGTATTCCCTGTCATGTAATCTGAGCTCCTCAAAAAGAGTGTTAAGTTGTCCAAACTCCAGCCTTTTCTTTAAGTAAGAACCGACACCCACATTTTGCGTCTTCTTTCCTGCTTTTTCTTCTCAGCCTTATTCTTCTCAATGCTAAAAGCGCGTAAATCATTTTCATCTGAATAAGTGTGTGTACAGCTACCATGATTGTTTGCCCCGAACGGTCAAAAGCGCGCGAAAATACAGCTCTCCGACGACATGACTGGGACACGTATGAGGGTCAAAGATGAACGAGCATGTTAGTATCAAAAGGAAATGAGTTCCTTTCCCTCAAGATGCATTACCACTGATTAAATCTGATTCCATTTTTCTTTCATAATATCATAATTTCAGCTGACTTATAAATTGAGAGTAAAATAAAATATCACTGACAAAATAATTGTCTTAAAAAATAACCTATGATTTTATCTTTAAACTAGGCAGCCGTAAATAATTATTATTTCTATATTTCTTTTCAACCCAAATTCAAACATGTTTACATTCTAGATTAAAAAGCAAGTTAATAGAAATATTTTACGTTTGTGATAAACAAAGTAAACAGCAAAAAATTAAAAAATTTAACGTGGACTGCACGTCTGCATCAGTTTTTTGCTCTCTTATGGCACTTCAGCTGAGAATTCAAGCCTTCGTTCTTGTCCAATACTAAAAAACATTGTTTTGAAAACAAGGAAATGTCATAGAGTTTAGAGGGGCGATCCACTTTAGTAAAAACGTTTATATTTGATTGTAAACTACTCGAAAAATGTCGCAAAAGATACATGAACTTACTAGTTACCTATCTACCTCGCATATCCTTGGATCAAAATCCTAAAAGCGATTTTCTTAGGCTTGAATAAATGAAGATAATGTGTCAGTCCAGGAGAGCAGTCCATTGGAACTGGCTTTAATTTTATATCTGGCAGCTCTTTTCCATTTACCTTGGCAATCCTTCGAAATATCGCAACCGCTTCGTCAGTTCTTCCATTTACATGAAGCCATCTTGTCGACTCCGGAATGAACCTTGCATTGAACAAAGGGTAAGCAATGAAGAACAAAGCAAACAGAAATGTGGGGTCGGAATCCTTCCAGAGCAAAAAATGTGAAACTGCACCATGCTGATTATATAAATACTTTGGTTCATAGCCATATTTGCAGACGCAATTTCAGAAACTAACCCATCTTCAATAAACAAATACGCATCTTTAATGTCACAAGCTGTCGCGAAAAAATGTACAACTTACTACCGTATCAGCACCTCCTAAGCTCAACGAAATGACAAAGTTACAGCAATATAAAAAGGCCCCTGTAAATATGCTTCATTGTTTCGCTTAGCTAAGAGTGGTTGATAAACACTTAGCTAAGAAGCATTTATAACTTGAAGGCCCACGGCTTTTATAAGGGCACTTATTGTGGTTATCAGTAACCAGGAAGATGTTGCAAAATGGGTACTGTGGCAGTGAAAATTCAACATTGAAGTGATGCTTTCTCTTTTTGAAAGGGTACTTAAGAAAATTTTGGAGGATATGGTGCATGAATTCGTCAATAGTGTCAACCCCTAAACAAGACATCATTTCCCAGTTGACTAACTCAAACTTTTTATACATGGGGAGGTCCATCTGCAATTATAAAAAAGTATTACCAAAAAGTATGAAAAAAAATTAAACTGACCAAAAATTATCAGCTAAAAAGTGTGGATAAGATCCAAGAATGCAAAATCTCTTTTTTTGAGCACATAAGAGACCACTATTCATGGTAATTTAGACTGTTTCCTAAAACAATCATCTTAAACTTGATTATTAATAATGTTCCATAATAATAATGAACTATACTAATGTTCTTCTGTTCTTTTTTCGACATATTTATGTTTTTATGTATTTGTGTAATTGAGTACTTCATTAATACCTATTGACCGGTGAGTTCTTCAAGGTGACTGCTTTAGCCCTCTTCTTTTAAACCTTTTTTCATACATTATCCAGTATATCAAGGCCGAGCAACTTAGACTTCTTGGTTTGTCTCAACATGATAATGAGCGCTGCTTTTATCCGGTCCACTGTTTCCAATATGCCGACGATGCTGCAGGTGTTCAAGTGGGGAACGTGAGAACCAGCTACTGTTAAACTGCTTCTTGCGATGCTGCCGCCAGTCAGATTCATTCCACCTTGCAGCGTTCATATGGAAAGAGTTCATCCCACCTCCCATGCAGTGGGATCTCATTTAACCGGGCTAGCTTGTTTTCCATATAAACGCAAAACGAAAAACACAAAGGATATTAAAGAAGACTGGGGTCTCATCTCTCAGCTCACAGGCTGGAAGGTGGGATGATTTTCTCCACATAAAGAGGCCCTTACATGATCATATATCAAAAGAAATTGGTTCGTTCACGGTTCATCTATGGTTGGATTGTGTTGAATTGTTTTGGCTTAGCATGAAAGTACATTAAGTTTTGACAAAATACCTACTTCTTCATTAGCTTTCAACAATAATCGCGGGAAAATTTCTGGGTCCAGAGTGAATTGTTCGTGTCTGAAGAGCGCTTTTGACTTTCTTGGTCAAAGACAATCTTAGATACTTTGTTCTAATAAACGTCTAAAAACATGCAAATTCTTTTGGGTCTTTGTGTTTTGCTCCTGGGCCAAGCATGGTACCACATCGAGCTAAGTTGGAGGTAGGGATGTACCGGATCAGGATTTTCAGAATCCGGCCGGAACCGGATTTACCGGATTTCTTCGTGGAATATCCGGCCGGATTCTACCGGATAATCTGACCATTTATAGAATTTTCAGTAATAAAAAGTTTTGAGCCACTTTGCGAAAAACTGTATAGCGAGAAGATCAAAGAGACCTATTCAGGGTTGCCAGATTGAATTTACAAACGAAGGCTAGACTGGTGAGCAATTTAAGCCAAAATGCTCATAAAAAGGCCAAATCAAAAACTCTTTCAAGAATCCATTGAGCAGGCACTGGTTATATTTCTACGCTTGTGCCTGTTAGATAATTTCTTAATTTGATAACAATCTTACTTTTTTCCAAAACCCTTTGCTAATATCAAGATAATATTTAGGTTGGGTGATAAAATTTGAAATTTGGTTAACACTTTTTAGTTAACTACTAATTATTCTATGAATGTAGTAATTACTTATTAATTTTGGACGTCTGCTGAAAAGGCCAACAAGGTCATATTTAAGAAGTAAGCAAAAAACAATTTTTCCAGGCAATCTAAATCTAAAAACCAAAAATGAAAAATTTGGCCTAAAAAGCCGATCTGGCAACCCTGGACCAAATCTGTGAATTATATCATCCAGTTTTCCTGTTTCGTGATGACGAGCACTTTCATTTCAAATCTGTTTTCAAGGCGCTTGTTTTATCGTCGATATTGTTTAGTTCTGGAAAATCCATTTTTAATCACTGTATGTAGGGAGTCTGACTTGGTTTTCCAAATTTTCTTGGTTATGATTAAAGTTCTGGAAAATCCGGCAACTGGCCGGATTTCGGAAACAAATCCGGCCGGAACCGGATTTTCAAAAAATCAGCGATCCGGCGCCGGATTATCCGGCCTACCGAATATCCGGTACATCCCTAGTTGGAGGCATTTCAGAAAGAAAGATAGAGTTTTTGAAGTCAAAAGCAAATTTCAACGCACTTTTCCTTTTGTAAGCAAATTTAATTATATGAACGCAAGAATGATTCAAGGGAACTGAAGCAGGCTTTAGATTTAGAATAAAGGCATTTGGAAAATGATAATTCTTTCGACACGGTACATCTGCTATGTAATTTTTCGACAATGTGGAAAAGGCCTGGTTTTTAACAAAATAACGTTTCTCTCCTTTCTGAGGAATGATCACCAAACTTTGTAGAGTGTTTTATAGTTATTGATAAAAGTTTCTGTAGCAGTCTATTCAAGATTAGAAGGGGTCACTTGAGTAATTTCAAGTTTTTCATAGTGAAGTCACCAAGGCTCAAGCTCACGATTTTCTGACAAGACAACTTCTTGGATTCAACGAAAGCCCAATTATTGAATCGGTATGACTTTAAAATCTAGATCCCCCCTCTTCCCATCCCTATGAATTGTCCTATCTGTCTTCGCCACGGAAATAGTTGATAATTTTGAGAAGCGAACATGATGATAATTTTGTGCTGTGCCAACTTCTGGATATTATAAAGGTTTATTTCGTCCTGACATTAAATAATCGTTGTTGTTTTGTTGGTGTCCCGAAAACATTTTTACAGATTTACAATAGCTACGAAGAAAGCCTCGTTTCGCTGTGGCAATGTCGGCCTGTTTGCATAAAAATTACGCAATCAATCGTGGAAGAACGGGGAGGATACTTATGGTAACCGACATTTTACTAGTCTGCTAAAGATTCAAAACCATGAACGAAACAGCTTCAAATGAATCAAGTGGTGCCTTGATAGGCCCAGTGGATATAATCCTACTCCTTTCATTTCTATGTGGTGCAATTTATTTCTTTTTCCGAAGAAAGAAAAAAGAAGACGCGACGTCGGAACTGGACTTAGGCCTCAAGCAAGCTGCACAGCCAACTCCGTCAGCTTCTGCGCTTTCAAGTACCTCAAGCTTTGTCACGAAAATGAAGAACTCTGGTAAGTCCATTGCAATTTTTTATGGATCCCAGACAGGCACAGCAGAAGAATTTTCGAACCGACTTGCTAAGGATGCTCAACGTTACAACCTCAAAGCATTGGTTATAGACCCAGAGGAATGTGATGTAGATGATTTACCAAGCATAAGAGATGAACTTAGCAAATCATTGGTTGTTTTTGTCATGGCAACTTATGGAGAAGGGGACCCCACTGACAATGCACAGGAGCTCTATGAGTGGCTACATGAGGAACAAGATTTGAATGGGCTCAATTTTGCTGTATTTGGACTGGGAAACAAAACATATGAACACTACAATTCAGTTGGACGGTATGTTGACAAACGACTTGCAGAACTTGGAGGGAATAGGGTGTGTGATAGAGGTGAAGGTGATGATGATGCAAACATAGAAGAGGACTTTGTCAATTGGAGAGAGACATTTTGGCCAAAAGTTTGTCAATTTTTTGACATCCACATAAGCAAAAAGAAAATACAAAGGTCACTTTCAGTTGTTGCACAACGAGAGTTTAGGCTTAATATCCTCACAGATGTCCCAGAAGAAAAGATATTCAAAGGGGAGATAGCTCGAATTGGCACATTTGCTAATCAAAGGCCCCCATATGATGCAAAGAACCCATATCTTGCACCTATAAAGGTGAATAGGGAGCTGCATCAAAATGCATCAGACAGGTCTTGCATGCATATTGAATTGGAGATTGAGGGTTCAGGTATAAGGTATCATGCTGGAGACCATGTAGGAATATATCCTGTCAATGACCAAGAGCTGGTAAACAAGCTAGGTGAACTACTGGATGTTGAACTTGACACTGTTTTTAAACTGGTAAATGTAGATGAAGATGCCACAAAAAAGAGCCCTTTTCCATGCCCCACAACATACCGCACTGCTCTGCTCCATTATGTTGATATTGCAAATATTGTTAAGACCCACATTTTAGCAGAGCTGGTGCCATTTGCTTGTAATGAAGATGACAGAGATTTCCTTTCCAAAATAGTTGGTGGAGATGAAGAAGGGAAAAGTTTGTATAATGAATGGGTAGTCAAGGATCATAGAAATATTGTTTCTATTCTGGAGGATCTTCCATCAGTAAGGCCACCTTTAGACCTTCTTCTGGAACTTCTTCCCAGGTTGCAATGCCGCTATTACTCAATTTCTTCTTCCTCAAAGCTGCATCCTACAAGGATTCATGTAACTGCTGTTGTTGTTGATTGGATGACCAGAATAGAAAGAAGACAAAAAGGTGTAGCTACAACATGGCTCAAAGAAAAGACCCCTTCAGAATCTAGCATCACAAAGGTACCAATATTTGTGAGACATACAACATTTCGTCTTCCAGTTAAGCCTTCTACACCAGCCATTATGATAGGTCCTGGCACTGGTCTTGCCCCATTTAGAGGCTTCATACAGGAAAGATATCTGCAAAAACAGGCTGGAGCACCATTGGGGGAGACAGTGCTGTTTTTTGGATGCAGAAAGAAGGCAGAAGATTATCTTTATAAAGAAGAGCTTGAATCTTACGAAGCTGATGGAACATTGGCCAAGTTGTTCCTGGCATTTTCTAGAGATCAAGCACATAAAATCTATGTCACACATCATTTGAAAGAGCAAAGGGAGTATATATGGAAGCTTATTGAGAAGGGTGGCCATATATATGTATGTGGAGATGCACGCACTATGGCTAAAGATGTTCATAGTATTTTAGAAGAAACCTGCAAAGAATGTGGAGGTATGACAAATGAAGCTGCAGCAAGTTACATAAAAAACTTGAGCAACAAAAACAGGTATTCTGTAGATGTTTGGAGTTAAAATGTGTTTTAAGCTGGTCCTTTTATACAAACACCCTGTTATCATCAATTTAGATAAGACTGTTTTGCATAAATTCCATTGATATTAGAGACCTCATACTCAGCTGTCAGTTCAGCTAATTCTTCAATGAAGATACAGCTAACCTTTATGAATTTAGGGCAGTTTTAGTAAAGTCTTTACTTAAAACCGATTATGGAGCATTTTAGTGTCAATGCTTTCAGACAAGCTTTTCAAAAATCCTTGTTTGCATAGTTAGGTTTATAATTTGTCATCTTTAGATGCTATTCAAAAAACACCTGCCTGATTGTAACACAAAGATTTTGACTGATGAAATATCTAAAATGGAGTCTTATTTTCTCCTTATAAATTATGATACTTTTTCCTAATTTAGTTCCAATTCACCTGTATTTTCTTGTCTTTTAAGTTTCTTCATTTATTAGACAATACCCATTTCCAAAATATCACAAAAATTCATTTCTTTCCCTCTTTTCTGAGATTTTCCCTGTTTCATTTAGTAATTATTATTTGCAAACACAATATTTCTATGAAATATTTTTTATGAAATAAAAAGATATTACAGCCCTGGAAAGTACTGTTGTTACTAATAGCCGCTCTTGACCCCATAAAAGATAAATTTTTAACTCTCTTGTGCTATTCTTAATGCTGCAGATTTATGTAGCGACTTCTTCATACATTAAAAAAATTGTAGTTATCATATATTTCAAATTTTACTCTTTTTTTTGGGGGGGGGGGCATATTTCTAGCCTTGATTTTGGAAGCACCCATTTGAAAGGCGAGACAATTGCAAGATGGCATTGTTTTATAATTCCCCTACATTTTTTTGGCTTTCACCAAAAAGGAAAAGCCCTTGTTGCTGTTGTCACTAATTGAGATTGTCATGACTTTTAAATCAGGGATAGTATATAGTCTGAGGACCACAAGGAAATGGCTGCATTATGAAGAGTTTCTGTAATTATCACCAAAGCTATCTTGTTGATTAAACATGGTATTGTGTATATTTTTGGAGTAGGGTTTAAATGTGGACAAATGATCCATTTTGGTAGAAATCAGTATCAAAACAAAAAGTCCTATTTGTCTTGAGTACAAACTACCTTAGACTCAAGTTCATCCCTAGTTTGATTCATTATTACTAGTTTCTCAAATGGTTTAAAGATCTTTGTAAGTGCTGCAGCCCTAGATATTTAATTCCTTTAAAGGTGTCCTGGTAGTGTTATGAAAATTTATGAAGAGTATTCAATATGAAAAACTTAAGACGCAGTGCTCTGAATGATATTGAATACCATATTTGTATAAAATCAAAAAACGTTTCTGATAACAGTTTATACCATAAAATTGTTTTTCAATTTTACTTTAAATTTTTTCCGAAAATGAACAACAATACATTTATAATGTTTTGACTCTTCTCTTGGAAGATTTTTAATTTGTGATGTTCTTTGGCTGGGGCAAATTTGAGGGAGAGACTCTAAGTGGGGAAATTCTACCATAAACATTGTCTTAAAGTTGCCTGTTAAAGTTAAAGATACAAATAGCTCACTTTAAAAGTTTTTTAAAGTTCTTTTCATTTGTTGATCAATAACCCTTTTGGAAACTAATCAAGATGTAAAAATGAATATGCTGCAGTTGAGGGCAGGGGCTTATTGGTGTTTCTTTAATCATATGAGGGTTGTGGGGCTTATTAACAATTTCTATTTTCTCGATATGGGGATTATTTGAAGGGGAGAAGCCATTTGATTTCGTATGTTACAGTCTTCAAGGTTTCTAGGATTTAGTTACTTCTTTATGTAACAGAAATAAGACTGATTTAGTATGTGAATGATTTTGTTTATTTTGCGATTTCTACTCTTCAATGGCAACCAAGGAGTTGTAATGCTCACCCAAACCATAAGCATGTTTGTGGTAGCTGTAAAGGGAAGAAAGGCATACTATGGTTATATCACAGCGGATTCAGCACTTAAGCAAAAACAAGCAGTTCAGACTTAGGTTTGGTATGACTGGCCTTGAAAAAGTGCTTATATTTTGAATAAGACCAATGCAAGGACAAAATAGCATATTACAGACAGGGGAGGCTCGAAAGATTGGGGGCTCAACAGGCTACTAGCCAAGAGTGCGATGATTAAAGTGCATTTTTGGGTGGGATAAGCCCCCTTGTCCATGCAATCCCTGGACATATGAAAGAAATTTGAAAGGCATTAAGAAAATAAAGAAAATTTTACCACTTATTAAAAAGTACCACTCAAAAATTTTAAAACTGCACATAGAGCTTGATTAATTCTTAGGCTGTTTTTGTGGTAAGTTACAGAATAGGAATGTCACTTAAAAGGCTCGTATAGCTGATTAAGGTACTTGAACCATCATGTTTACATCTTTTCAAATTTAACAGCAATACTTGTTGCCTAAATTTGAAAAGAAGTTAGATTTTCTGAAGAGAGACTATTAAAACTACTTTAAAGCAGGACTTACGAGAGGCGAATGGCTTTCCCTTGACAGTTGTTTCCGATCTTTAAAACTGGTGAATCTGCTTGGAAGATTTCTACTGACAAGCCAAGAATAGTTGAAAGTGCCTGAATCTTTGAAATAAAATGCAATCAATAACAAACTGAAAAGTCTAAGGCAAAGTTCATAAAGCTCACATGCTTAATTCGTACTTCAGCCACTAGGATATATCAACAATCTTTAACTGAATTACTTTTAAATGCAAGGTTTTTGTCTTAGAATTATATGGTTTTTGCAACTGTACGTAGATATGTAGTCTGTTAATCTACAGCATGCGAAATACCAGCAATCTATCCAAAAAGAAAAAGTCAAGGTTTTCCAGGAAATAAACTAGGAAACAGTGATTTGAGATGGCGATAACAAATATTTTAATCAAAGTTCATATTTTTTTCTCTTCTAAAGAAAACAAGCTACAAATTGGTAACATGATTCTTTGTTGTTTATCAAAGGTCCTAATTACAGCCCACTTTTTTAAAAACGTCTCTAAAAATCAGAGAGAGGTACACAATCCAGGGATCGCAATCGAGGTACACAATCGCAAATTTCCAAAATGTTCTTGAGCCATACAGAAAACACATTGCTCTTGGTTTTTAGCATGCTTAGACCCCCTAAAGCGTTTCAGCCCCCTCGATCTGTAATATGCTTTATGGTCCTTAACAAAATCACAAATCACCCTTGGATAAGCTTTTGAAGAAATTTTGAAATTTTCAAGTGAAAATTTCACAGATGAATCTTGCCAGTAATCTTTGCAAGTTGCGAAGGTAAGACGTGATTTGATAACCAAAATCAAAATGTATCATTACATTGTTATTCGACTCTTACCTCTATTTGCCCACCCCATGCATTTGTATTCTCAACGTCGTTACAATAATTCTCAAAATCATCTGTATAAGGAATAAAGTAGTTTCATTTTTCAATAACTCAAATACTTTGCAAGAACTGTTACAGGAACATAGTGATAACCACTCCAGTTTCTAAATGTCTGCCTTGACGATGCATATGGCCTCTGTCTTAAAAGAGCTAGGTCTGCTGCATTTTTTAAAGCTTATGTAAATGTGAAAAATCCTTACTCTCGGTAAATGTGAAATATGTTTATACTTGGTAGAAGTCAAATATTCTTAACCTCAGTAAAGGTGAAATATGCAAACCCTCAGTAAATGTGAAATATGCATACCTTTGGTACAGGTGAAATATTCTTACCCTAAGTTAAGGTGAAATATGCATATCCTCTGTAAATGTGAAATATACCTACCCTTGGTAAATGTCAAGCATGCTTACCCTCGGTAAATGGCTCCCCTGTTGTCACATTTGCCATGAATGGAATAAAGTGGTCCCTGTCAGCTCTTAACTTGTTTGCTGCCATTGCGCGTAGACTCTTCCATTCATACTACGTACACAAGATCAATTTATAAAAGTACTTTCCATCAGCATAAGTGAGACCAAAATAAAATTGAAATACTCAACAGATGTTGAACAAGTGACAAATTAGTTTTCTTTGTTGTCATTGACCAGATTTCATTTCACAAAATCCATGTTCCAGCACAACCCACCCAGCATCACAGTATTATTTCAAAATATCACACATTCAACTCTATCATTTCAAATTTTCTTAGTTTTACCATAAAGCCACAAAGAGCAAGAACAGGAAAAGAAAGCCGATGTTAGATAATGTTATTTGATTTAAAAAGTAGCGTTCTTCTGGTGAAAAATTCAGCATTCCTAGTTACATTTGACATGTATATTATGGATTGATACTAATCCTTTCTGTGACCAAAAAGGTAATATTTTGAAGACATCCTCTAACACAACGCAGGTGTGGCAGGGCTTCCTACAAAATACTGTGTGGCAGTTGTGCCTAATATGTTTTCAATTACAATAATTTCAGCTTTTAAACGTGGAAACCCCTAATCATCAGTTAGGTTCGGCTGAAAATCCAATTTGTCCATCCATTAGAGTTGTTTGAAGTGACTGTGACAATGACTGTGAATAACATGTATTTCCAAGAGTTAATGCTACATTATTCAAGGTCAAAAGATTGTCTAAGTATGTTTTTCGAAATTTTTCACAGTGCACAGTATTGAGACCTTGTACGACTGTCGTCCTATATCAAGTTATGAGAAAAAATTGACATCATCAACAATCTATGGAACCATGTTTCAGAGACAGATACTAAGTATCTGAAAGCAAACCAATTGGAAACAAAGTATTTGGATAGCCAGTGATTCGAATAAACAAGACAGAGCCATTACTAATGAAATGTCTTGGTAACTTTGTGATTTAATACTTACATTGGCTTCCATTCCCGATAGCTGATCAGCTATTGCATTGTACAAGCTGAAATTGAAACATGTTGGTTGTCATTTAGAGTTTGGGTCCACAAAGTCTATAATCCAAGACAGCTGGGTTGAAAGATTTTGCAACCCCTTCCCTCAGTTCAATTTTGCACCCATCTGGCCTTTTCTTCTAATGAAATTTGCTTAGTATGCCCATCTAATGAATTGTGTATTGAATAGAGGGATTGAGCTAGAGGTTTCACTATACATTGATGTCACCTATCATGTGTTTAGGTATCCACGATTAAAGATTAAAACAAGCCCTGATGATCTTTTCATTTTTTGCCACAATTATAGATTTGTGGTATTACGTTTCGTCTAGATTATGTTATCATTTGAAAAAAAATTAACAAAAAAAGAACTTCATCCAAGGTCCCTTGGAGATTTTTCTAGAACATAAACTATGGGTACATTTCCACATTGCTGTATGGCATTTTCACAAAACCATGCAGATCCATCAACTATACATAAGAAAAATTTTACCATAAAAGAACTAGCATATACAGATCCAAACAAGAAAACTATGCTTCACCATATTGCAAGTCACTATAATCAGATGCAAAGAAATTAAGCATACTATCAAAAACGTGCCAAATTGCGAAAAACATCATTAACAAAAGAAATCCTCATAATACTTAGAATATGCTCATACCAGTTTCCATCTGGAGCGATCTGAAAAAGAAACAAATATGAACAGTCCATGTCACAAGGCAACAAAAACCGGAATAAATTTCACATAAAAACTGCATTAAATCCAAGTCTGAGTGTACATAAAATTATTATTGTTAAAGGATTGAAAGTCGATTATGGGACATAGTAGTAAACTCTTCTAACACACTTTTGGATAAACAAAACAAAAAGAGAATATGGTTAAACTTTATAAAGTATTTTAAAGGAGTTAACTAACATAGAACAAAGTAGCATACAAATCAAAAATGGAAGATGCTGTGTTTCTCTTATTAACCTGCCTACAAACCCTTAAAACATGGTGATTTGCCTTCCCACTAAATGCATGGCGTGACCATGGAAACTGGCAAAATACAACTGCGGGACTGCTAAAAGGAGCTGCATTGCATTTTATAAAAGTATTTCTGTATTGTTGGCTGTCACATTTCCCTAAATGTCTACATGTGCATTTAAACATGATTGTTGATAGAGTAAGTGGTATGTTAGAATGATGATGGCTTGGTCCCTGAACCCTTATTACTTCACAAAGAAAGGAAATGTGTCACCTCTTTGATGCGCAATCCATTCTGTGCAACGATTTTCTTTAGTCTGTTTGATTCTACATTTCTGGCACTATTCACGTTTTCTTCTTCTGCTGCTTCTAACCTTTTTTGCCTTTCTTTCTCTTCCTCCTCTTTTCGCTCCTTTAAAAGAATTCACCTGAACACTATATGCAGTGGAAAACATCAAAAACACACAATTGCGAATCGGGAATTTCCGTCAAATAACATTTTAGGTGGGCTTTTGGTGGGTTAAACATATTTGCAAAAACATCCAATGAAAGTTTATCATAAATTTGCAAAACAATAAAGTTAATTTGGCTTTAAAAGGTAGTCCATGAAAATTGTTTGCATATCAAGAAAATAATGTTTCTCATTAATGGAATAAAAAGTTGCATTATCTTACAAGACAACATTTGAAGAAACTAATGGAACATTTGTGGTCCAAGAAAAAAACTTCCTCTAATAAAAACAAATGATTTTGGTTTGTCAGTCCTAATTCAATTCAGAATTTAACCCTAATTGAAAAAAGGGGACCTAGGATATATAGATCTCTGGTTTTCAAAGTTACCTAAGCTTTTCTGTATAATTCCAATAAATCTGTATACATAATTAAACTTAAATCTTGAATTAATTCACTTCAATTCTCCTCAAAAGGGAAAATGTATTATAAATACAAAGTTTACCAGGAGCACAATGCCTCACTAGAAAACTAAATTGTTAACAAATTCAAAAAGGGGCAGCCAAAAGACTTCTCTTAGTAAAATTAAACATTGTTGCAAACTGAATATATTTTGCTATGTTCCTTGTAATACAAATAAACATTAGTGTCATAGCATACACGTCTTTTCTGTGCTTTACTGATACGCTTTGGAGGGGCTTCTTCCCTGCAGATGTTTATCTCACTGAGTGGTTCACATAGGTCATTTGTTTCTTGTTTATTGCCTGCCTAAGTAAAAAGTTTTCCAAGTAACATAATTTATAAAACAAGCAAATCAAAGTGACAGGAAATCAAATTTTGAAACATATACCTTATAAAGCAACTGATCAATGTTGTAACGTTTGTCTAAATGAAAAAAATTTCACTTACAGGCATAATTCCTAAACATAGTACTCTGACAGCAGAATTATACCAATAACTGGAAAGCTTGTACATGATTTGTTATAAGGTAATAAAAATATAATAAAAAGGCACAGTCGAAATTTTAAATGGGTTAAAAAGTAGCAAGACTTAAATACAAACTAATACATTACAACCAAACCAATATGATAAAACCAATTGATTAAACATGATTGATTAAAATTATTGGGTATGCTACAGAAAAAACATTTGAAAGTCGTTTGCAGTTGCAAAAGACTTGAAATAGTTTCATAGAGAAGGAGTTGCCAATTTTTAAACCTGATTTAAGTCAGAAATTTCTTTTTGATGCTTTTCTTGCAATTCTGCCTCTAATAAAGCAATTTCAGCCATCATTTGTTTTTTTCTTTTCTTGTCTCCTTTTGGCACAGAATGCTTCATATTCTGGGTTTTAGCTAGAGAAAACATTTAAAATGAAATTTTAAGGGTTCAATAAGAAATGATTGCAAGCAACCAAAAAATCTCAGTAGCTATTCTGATGCACAAACACCTCAGTATATATCAGTAGTAAGAAGAGTGATCACCGTAGACTTACTGTTTTCTTTTTACAGTAATTAGCCAAAATGCAAAGAAATGTTTATGCTTGTCAGACTTGTTCACGGGGAGCCCGTGAATCCACGTGGGTTCATTTTGATATTCATCTTAAAAGCAACAATAAACGAGATAAACATGAGCAATAGAATGCAAATGGTGCGTTTACATTATCAAAATGTTTATGGATATGTAACTTGAATACGTATGCAGTGTAAGCACACTAGCGTTAGCCTTTAATTAAGGATTACCTTACCTTGAAGCTCTTTCAATTCTAGTTTTTGCCTTGACTTGAGATCTTCCATTTCTAATGCATTTGATCGACTGCCTCTTTAAATCCTAAAATTCCTAAGAAGCCTTCCTAAAATTTCAGGTCATCCTTTACTTTAAATTAAACGTTCAATTGCTGCTACGTAGAACATAACTTCATTTTGATTGCTTGCTTTCTACAACAATATTTAATTCTAATGGTTAGGCCATGTAGCCTCCATGTGGTTTGAAACCTCGACTTCATCAAACCTATACTCGTTTTTGCGTTTTTTACAATTATTGCTTCATGAAATTCAGTTCAGTTTAGTCCAATTTTTTATATTTTAAATTCCCAATTTATGAATAATAGCTACTAAAACAAAACTACACGAATTACACAACAGTATCATCGAAAATTAAGCATTGAAATTGTTTGTTTATTTGTTTTTTAGCATCTTAATTCAATTCAATTTTCTTTTGGATATTAGGTGAGCAAAAGTATTGCACCACCACCCTACAAAATGGCGGGTAGAAGCAGACCCGTCGGCAGCTAAACTGGATAAGAGGGGGGGGGGGCATGGATAGAAATATAGCTTTTTCTATACCTGCCTTACGAAATTCTGTCTTATATGATCTTCAAACACGACTTTCGCAAATTATTGGGGGCATTGCCCCCCCCCTGCCTGGGTAGCAGAAACATGCTACCTACTACGTCGACGAAAAACATGGACAACTTAATATCACATAATCTCTTAACGATACGCATCCAAAAAGTGAGTCAAATGAAGCACACTCGCTAAAGGGCGTGCTTTGTCGATTCCTTCGCCGCATAAATGTTCCACATGTCATTCAGGAAAAAAACACTCAGCTGTTGCTGTACACTCTTTTCTGTACTTAATTTTCGAAAATTTGCGGCTGGATTGTTCTTAATTTGTTCTTAAATTAATAGGGTGTATACAGTGCGATTGCTAGCTTTTTCGCTCTAGGGAGATGTTCAGGCTTCATTTGCCAACAAAGTGTGTGAAACAACTTTCTTTTGCCGACAAGTTTGAATATTTACCGAAAAAAACACGCATACATGGCTCAAAATCCTAGTTTTTGAGATAAATTGTTGTTCAAAATTGCATTTTAAAGGAGCTCAGCCTCAGTTTGTTCTTAATTGGTTCTTAACTTGTACCAGTTTTGTGGCTCTTGTTCCTATAAAATTGTTGTTTGTCCACAGATTTTAACATCATGATCATAACTGGAGAATTCCTCTACAGCTACCGTATTTTGAGCAAAAGCAAGAGAGAGAGACCAAGTCATTGTATCATATGTTGTTTTGTTTGTAATTTAAAAACATAAAAGTGGGTGTGTACTGGTTAGTTGCGAAAAAGATTGACTTTGTTTCTCCATCGACCAGCAAGTGGCAGCTAATTTTTTACCCTGTCGACATTATTAATGCAACAATGATATGATCAAAAATTCAAATCAACTTTTTAATCAAGTACACAATAGTATAGATGACTATGTTTGTAGACAATTTCAAACAATAGTATAGGCTTTTCAGGAGCAGAACTTTAGACACCATTGCATTGCATGCTAAACTGCCCAAAGAATTTATTGCACCGTGCGCAGCCATCTTAGCACAGTGAATGACAGAATTTGTTGCCAACTTTAACGCTAAGATGATTCATTTTCTACTGTGGAGGAGAGGTGTTGACAAGTTGCAGGGATGAGTTCTCGTCAACAACGCTTGCACGCGTGCGCAGGACAGGAGGGCGCTGTGCAATGCCCGCGTGGGCTCAGAATCTGGGGAATGGAATGTGAAGAAAGGGCGTCAAGTGCTTTGTGACAAATATGCAAGCAAGTCGAAGAAACGTTAAAGCTCAAGCCATTTCTCAGTCGATCGTGCAGAAGATGTAGTCATTTCTCTAAACGGAAAAGTCCTTTACTACGAATGGGTTGCGGTCAAAGTGTAGAGGAAAGGGAGGCTATTTCTCGCAGCAAAGCTATAGAGAAAACCTTAAAACAAGATGGCGACAAGGCCCTGAAGGAAGTCAAACTGCTCCTTTTAGGTGTGTATTCTTGCTTTGATTATTTGTATTATTGGCTTGGCACCTTATATCTGCCATGTCACATGATTTAAGCCAGCTTTGCTGGCAGTATTTGGTACAATTGACCAACCTGCTTGTGTTTATAATCCAATGATCGCTCAGTGTCTTCCTGACGATAGCAATCTCATACAATTCTAGTCGTGAAATATGAAATTCTTTTCAGTTTTACTGAAACGTGGTAGAATTTGATGACAATATTAACATCTAAAATTTCTTAGTGAAAATCATCTGTCAAAACCTACATTCATTAGGGCTGTGTGCGACTAAAACTGACTTCGTTCGTTGTTGGTTGTAATGTCGCCTTGTTTTTGGTGGCCTAAGCTGTGGTAAGAGGAGTCCTAGAAACTCAGTTCTGGTTCCAGACAAGGATGAGCTAAGGTGTACACTTGCATGCTTTTCAGACTCAAAAGGCTTTCCCTTGATTAATCATAGGTCAGGTATTTGATTGGCCAAAGACGACCATCGCATCATGCCAACTGGCGACATTATTTTTGTGATGTTTTTAGACTTTGTCAGAAGTAAGAAAGAAGGAAGAGGTCTTTGAGCACCATTCATTGTTATATTCATTAAGCCTCACTAAACAAACAAGCAGATGTGTCTCAATTTTTCTTCATTAAATTTTTTAACTTTATTCAAGTGTGTTTAGTCTGTAAGCTATGGATCTTTTTTGGGGTTGGTATAAGTATATAGAGGGAAATCTACTTTAAGTGGCCAATGTGTTGTTTAGAACAAGTCATTTTGGGTAGTCAATAAATGGCATGCCCGTGCAAGTATATGGTTAAACATCAAGGAATTTGGTTCTGCATGTTGAACATCTCTTCCCAGTTTTTATTATTGTTTCATAAAAAGACTACTATGAGTTTTAACCAAGGGATTGTTACTAAAGATAATTTGTAAACATTCACCTTTAGCTAATGACTGATTATTGCCGTGTGAAGGATATTTGTAGATATATTATATATCCATAAAATTGGTTCCAATGTTTTGATTCCTCGACAAAAATCTACAAAGCTGTAGGCACACACATATTTTCTTCTCATAAGCTCTTTTCACACTTTGCCATTAATAGTAAACCCTCATTTTATCTGTTTGCAATCACTGTGGTTAACAGCCAGAAAAACCTTTAGAAGGTTTGAAATATGTAAAAACAGGAAATGGGCTTGATCTGAAGGCCAATGTCTTAAATTTGCCCACAAAATGTACCACATTTATTGCTGAGCAGCATACTTTTATACAAAAAAACAAGTTTTCTTTTTCAGGGTAAGTCTCATCGGCTTTATATTTGGTGACTGCCTGTTGCATTACTGTAGGAATTTCGAACTTAATAAAAATGAAAGTTTGATTGATAAAAAGTACTCTGCATTTTCACATGATAGCCTCCCAAATACAGGTTTTTATATTTGGCTATATTGTAGAAATCATGGTAAAAGTGCATAGAGCATAATTTTCCCTTGACGGGTTGATGCCATAGTATGACACAAGGAACATTTATTTATGTGAATATATATCAATATATATGTAGACTTTTGTTCTTAACTCCATGTGGAAGCCTTTGGGGTCATAGGCACAGACTTTTAGTTTTTTTCAGGGTTGCTCAACAGTTCAAATGTAAAATATTGTTATGAAAGAGAGGCACATATCATTTGCAAAATGCTGGTGATAAATTCTGACCTGAATGACCTTTACATCGAACGTTGGTTACTCATAAGCGTGAACAACAAATATTGATAATAAGCCAAAATGATAAGAACTGGACAGTAATGGAAGGAAATGCTATAATAAAAAGGGCTGTTGATATTTATTTGGAGAAAAAACATTATAGAGGAGCCTACGAGTAAGAGACTCTGTCTTGAAGCTGCAAAAGAATCTGAAAACATAGATAATGCTGTCAGAGAGGAAGAGGGAGAGAATTTTTCAACCAAGTCCAAATCTAATTTCGATTCATACACTGAAGAAGAAATTTAAAAATTTTGATTGAGGGGTCAAGATTTTAATGAAACCCACGTTTAATTTCGTCATTGTTGACATTATAAGTCATGACATTGAATATTTTTGTTACAAACTAGCAGGTAATCTTGCATTAAGAAAATCAGAAGTAAGACAGTTGTGGGTAGATAATACCCTAATTCTCCCACAGGCCCTGAAGGACTTCGTTTAACAAATAATGTTGAACAGGCAGTCGCCCTCGTAAGCTGATCTACATAGGCAGTTTGTTGCCCTTGCGAAAATTTCTTCACAAATAGCCTGAAAATATGCTGAATTTTTTTGTAATCGAAAAATTTTTCTGCATCAAAAAGCTGCTTGGGGGAGCTAAGCCCTCTTAGGTAATTCCCAAGAGGTGCCAAGCCTTTGAGCTCCTGCATAGTCAGCACCTATATTAGGGATCCTATGTATAATCAAAACAGAATGGTCCAGTGCCATGACAGATGTTTTTTATAAACATGAATAGACTGAAACCAAAGAGAGTTTGCTTTACTTTTTTTTATTATGTAATGGTGGGCCATGGAAAAGGTAAGGGGGACATTGGTTCTCCCTCTACAAAGAAATCTAGCAAACATAAATGCATTTCTGCTATAACTGGTATTTCAATAAAGATCTTCTCCTAACCATATTTTCTAAAACAGAAAAAAGTATCATGCAGGAACCATATCATTTTCTGATAGTCAGAAAACTTTAACTCCAAGATACTGTTAGTTTTTAGTTGAAGTGGCCGTATAAATCTTTTTATTTCCCTGCCCATTCATTGAAATGGTACCAATGTTATATTTTTTAGGGCCTAGCAGATGAAATGTTGTAATATTTAAAAATAGATTGATGAAAAACAGACCTCTTAAAAACATGACAAGAGTCTGAACCATATTGGCTTTAATTTGCAAATCATAAAACACTGGGTTTGTATTCATTATGAAGCCACAATTGGTGATTCACTATAAGTGTAGGCAGGGGCGGATAAAGAATTAAAGGTGACGGTTGCACATTAACACTACCCAGCAGGCATTCTAGGAGGAACCCCCCCCCCCGCAACCAGAGCAACAAGGTTTAATTCCAAAAAGGCAAAAACCCTGATGTTCACAATGTTTATTATTTCAACCACTATAAATGAAAGGAATAATTTAACCCTTTTTTTCAAGAAAGTCATCTTGATTTTTGGTCTAGAATATTATTTTCATGTCTTGTAAGCATTTCCTTTATAACTGCAGTTGGTCACCCTAAGCAAGACTGGTACACTTTGATTGATGAAACGCCTTAATGGATGCCCTTATCTGTAGTATCGGAAGTTGCCTTGCCAAGGAGGTTTGCAGGCCTTGTAGTAGTTTTGAGGGTGGCGACAGCACTGGGGCCCTGAGACTTTCACATGGCTCAGTTGAACATTTTTCCCTTTAAAAAGGTTTTCCAAATTTTCCAGCAAATCCAACACGCAGTTGAAACAAAATATCTTGAGATTCAGAAGTGTACACTTCCTGCGCACCTCTTCCATATAGATAAAGAAAATTGAGATTCTTCTCCTTCACAACTTTCAACCTCATCCACTTTCTTCCCATTCCAGCAGTTGTGGGGCACAGTAATCTAGCATAGTGTTTACAGACTTTTTGTGCCACACAAATATGTGTAAACTTTAATTTTGATTGGTGAGATTTGGTAAAATATTTGCATAACAAAGAGCCCTGCATATTTGTGTGGCACTGGCGACATGCTTAAAAATCATACTGTTTACGGTCTAGGATGGTCTTTGAATTTCTTCTATATTGAATTAAATTGTAGCATTGTATGTGAGATTCACCAAGTTTGGTCCTGTTTTTATTAAAGAGAGGTAAATCTATTATTTGTAAGGAGGGAAATAAAAGATTGTGGTGAACATGATTGCCTTATTTCAATGACTGAAGACTAAAACTAAATTCTGCAAATCTGACGGTCTTCCATGCGACCTGTGCGCCACCCTGAATCCGCCCCTGAGTGTAGGCAAGGATACACAACTTCTATGTTCATTTAAAGACAGTGCTTGTTGACAATTAGATGATAGAATTATTTGAGGCTATTTGAAAGCTAAATTTATGAAAAGAGGGAGGTGAATGGAGCAGAGTTTGGATAAAAGTGTTTTGTTTACGTTTTTATAGCTTAGCATTAATTGTTTTGTAAAGTGAAAAGGCAACAAAAATTAACAAATGTTCAGACAGTCAATGAAAACCATTAGTTTGACAATTAATATGTTGTTTTGCTCATTTCTCTAGGTAGAGTAACAACATTGCTTTTCTTAACCTTTTTGTATCCAAGTCAGAAGTTATACCTTCAAATATCTTTTTTTGTGTTAGGGGCTGGTGAATCTGGAAAAAGCACCATTGTGAAGCAAATGAAGTAAGTATTTTGAATAATTAGCCATGACTTCCTGTTTGTCCATTTGATGTAATTTTCTGTAGTCCATAAAAGGAGTAAATTTGCAGATTGTTGGATGCACTTTCTCTTTTGGATATGGCAGTGGATTCAAACCCAGGTTTAACATACAGGCTATGGTGTAGAGAACAGGCAGTTCTAAGTTGCAACTCCAATTTTCACACTTTTTCTCATGATATCAGGTCACATTAGCAGCATGGCATAGTTTCATTTTCGTCCAATAAGATGCTTTGTTTACCATTTACAAACTTCTCAACAGCACCCCTAGATTTGGAGGAAAAGCACTACTGGAGTTTGAGGCTGCCTTGAAAATATACTTGGGATAAAATCAACCAAAATGAAAAATTTGCAATGTTCATAAAATTTACTAAAAAATTATCATTGCTCAGGCTTTCGTGGGAAAAATATAGCAGGCGTGCTAACCACCGCACCCCTGAAAACATCCAGGCGTGTGATGGCGTGTGACATTTTTTCACAAAACATTCTGGCAATTATGATAGATCTACGGAGAAATTGTCATCACGAAAATGATGACAGCAATAATTTGATGAAATTTACTTCGCTGAATTCTCACCATGACTACTTACATTTTAGCAACTGAGCAATTTTCTGAACAAGTATAAACTGAGCTTATTTAATATATCAAAAAAAAGAGGCAGAATTCAAGGGGCCAGATATCACTTGTCATGCCGGAAAATTAATTATACTTGTAACCAGGTCAGGTTTCATAATATCGGGATTCCACTGTAGATTAGTCCTATGGTTATTTCAAAATTTTTTATTTAATCTGCAATCCTGATAAGGTGTTAAGCCAAGGAAGTGTAATTGTACCAAGGAAGGATAAATATACACTGAGAGGACAAAAGTATGGAAACAATATTCAATAATGGCGGCTCACAGTGGCCAAGGGCCTAAGACAATAAATCTTCGAAACAATGAGATGAGTGAATACACTGACACAGTAATTACAAAGACACGTCGGAATAGCAGTAGGTAGCAAGCAGTGGCTGCAATGGCAACAAGTTTGTAAGAGGCACCGAGTTAAGAGGCTAAGTAATTTTTTTAGGGCACAGCAATTGATGGTTTTGTGAAATGTGTGTTTAGCTGCTAGTACGGGAGATTGGTGAGCTCTGATTGGCAAAAAGAAAATTGTAAACAAAGCATCCAATTGGTTGAAAATGAAATTCTGCCTTGCTCACATTAGCCATATCAGGTTTGACATATATAATTGATTTTAGTGTTTAGTTTGGTTTATCCAGTATCTGCAAAAAACAAGCATCATCAGGGAGGTTAGAACAGCCTGACTCTAATCATGTCTCACTGCCATTTCCCTTTCTAACAGGATTATACATTGTAAATGCCATCATTTGCAATATGTTTCAGATTTTGAAGATAAACATTTGAACTTAAAACAAATTTTGCAAAGTAGATAATAGTTTGTATGTGACTGCTTACCTGCAGCTTACCTGTTGTAATTGGGTGTACTTTTCTCACCTAAATTATTCAACTTCCTTTCTGTTTCCTTCCATCATTACACACAATCAAAATTAAAAATTTGATTCACATATGTTTGACATAAATAAAGAAATTTTTCTAGTGAAGCAGAAATGTTAGTTCTTTTATATACAAGAGAGTTATCAGTGTTATCAGTATCTTTTGACAAGTATATAATTATAATTTTGATTGCTGTTAACCTAAGTATGTTGCTCTGTGTGTACAGTAGTTGTTTTACACCCAACTACTGCAATATTTTGCTACGGAGAGTTTTTTTAACTTAACTTTTCAGTTCCCATCAGCTTTTATCAATTTTTCTGTACCTTTTAGTTCTAAAACGTATTTAATGACTTGGATTAGACCTGATTTTAATTTATCACATGTAAAGTGAGTATCCATTATTAATCATTCGTGTGAAAATGATCAGGTTTTGTTGCATTTTTCAGTGTTTTCGTTCTCATGCTTTTGTCAACAATGTACTGTTTTTCCTTAGCGTCGGAATTGTAGTAAGATGAGTTGCATTTAGAACTCTTTAGCTGCATTAGATCTATACTTTCGTTTTTCTTTCAAGTTGTTATTCTATCATTTGTCACTGATTTTTCTACAGCTGCTTGTCAATTTTTGTTCTTGTTTTGCCTAAGAGCTGTTAATGGCAAGCCATACTTGCCCACAAGAAGTGCTCTAAACATGGTCAGAAAGCAAGGAAAATGCTAAAAATCCTCACAATATTCTTAGATGTCAATATATAATTGTTAAAATTGGCTGCAAAGATTGTAGGAAATAATTATAGAATGTTTATCTTGTGTCAGAATGGTAAGCTTTTTCACTTACATAGCCAAAAATGACAGAAGAATTAGATAGCAATCTTCCTTCAATATTCATGTTAAGAAAATACGAAATTAAGATATTAAGAAAAAAAAGAAAATCCCACTGAAGTCCTTTTCCCATTCAAATTAGGGAATTAATTCACAGCTGATTTCAGCTTGTAAAATGAGTGTTCTACAGGAGGGATTTTCTGAGTTGGGCCATTGAACCCCTTTGAATCATTCATATTCATGCTTGATGGTTTAGGTTGCAGAGTCTCTTTTTATGAGATTTCTTTGCATCCCTCTTGGCACAAATAAAATCACAAACAGGTAAAGCTGGCACTTTGTTTTTTCTAATGTCTGTTACTGTTCTCATAGAATTATTCATGACAATGGGTTCACAGAGGAAGATTATCGAAGATATAGACCAGTCATCTTCAGTAATGCTATCATGTCTCTTATTGCCATTCTCCGTGCCATGGAAAAACTACATGTACCTTTTGGAGAGGAACGGCGAATTGTGAGTATTTGTCAGGCCATTATGAGTATTTATCTATAGCTTGCACTATATACCTAACATGACAATGACTGTATTGAGGTTGCCCTGCTCATGGCCTGTGCCAAACAAATTAGCACCCTTGATTTTTTTAGAGAAAATAATGCCTTTTGGGCATGATGAATTTTCAAAAATAGGTTTGACCGTATTGAATGATGTCCTTTCTCTCAAAAATAATTTGTTTGATTTAAAGGAATCATTAGAGAAATTTGCAAAGCAGTTAAAACAGGGTGATAGCAAGGAAAAGTGTAAACATAGCAGTATTCTCAAATTTTGCTTATTTAATTACATTAATTACAAGGTAATCTTTCAATGAGTCTCTTGTCTTTTGAGGAAGACTTTTTTGGTCCCCTTCCCATCTGTTAAGCTGCAGAATGCAAAGATTTGGAGCCACCGCCAAGAACTTATAGCAGTTTTGCAGGCAATAAAATCTTAAAAGAAAATTTTGGCCAACTTCAAAAGAGGATTTTTTTTAGCCAAGGACACATTTTCAACTCAGCAATTTTTATTTTTCAATCTTAGGTGTTTGTTTACCTTACAAAAATTTTGCATAAATAACTACTTGCACACTCAAATTCAAATTGGTTGTTTTCATAAGGCAAGATTTGATGAATCTAAATACCAGATTGTTTCAAACTTTTATTTTTCTTTTAATTTTTAAGAAAATAAATATTATTTTATTGTTTTACTTGAAAATGTTTTTCAAATGCCACCCCTTTGAATTTGATGATAATTGTTTGTAAAACGTTAAATTTTATCTTGTAAGTTATTTTTAAAAATGTCTTTAATTGACAAATTTGAATTGTTCAATTATTTCTCATGTATGTTGGGCCAATAATGGCATGCCCTATTGCTTTTAGCTGCGTTATATTTTATACAAAGTTAAAAGGTGTGAGTGACGTGTAATGTCTTAACGTACACAGTTTATTGTTTAACACTCCGAGAGAGTGACTAAAATTTAACTTTTTTGCACGAAATTGCTTTTTCGGGAAGCATTTTCTGAACAATTCTTTAGCACAATATCCCATTGTTGTGAACTGGAATCGACCGAAATTAGATCTTTTAAATCGACACTTAAAAGGGCAGGTGACTATGTTTGTCATCTAAAAGCATTAAAAACAACTAGACGTTGACCGAATCTTCTCTAAAGCAGTTTATTTTGACAAACATGTTACTTCAAAGTTTTGTTATCAACTGCTACGGTTATTCCAGCAAAGAATCCTTGAAAAACTTTCTCCATTATTTCTCGATACATTTATTATGTTGCCATAATAAAAATATAGATTCCCTTTGATTGAATCTTAAGAACAACGCTCCTCCTAATGATCGAAAAACATGCTAACTTGAAAATATGGTATGGACATGTTTTTGTTTTGCCAAATGTTGCCACGACTGAACAGGTGTCTAAATACTACTTTTAAAAGACGTGTTTTCAAAAGTCCGCGTAAATATCGTGCATATCGAAAGCTGTTCGATAAAACCTACCTTTGCATATTAAAATCAATTGGCAGAAATTTCAAGCTGTATTTAGAAACACCATTACTGATAGTTATTCCTTCTAGATAAGCATGTAACAGGACTTTTCTTACCGCCATATTTTCGTTGCGGAAAGCTGACGATACTTTTCTCTATGTTAAAGCCAAGGCACTACATCCTGATGCATTTAGCTTGTCATTTAAATTTCTCTTTGGTTGGACTACAGAATAGAGTTATTGTTACGTATCCAATCGGCAACGTAAGGCTAATTCTCAATTTCAACACTACAGTTAATATTTTAATAGATGCTACGTTCCCCTTTTTCCCTTGCCCATTTTCTGATCTTACTTATTTAAAAGAGAGTTTTAACTGTGATAAATGTAGTGTTAAGTAATTTTAACCATTTTTAGTTGCGAGGCCTCACCTCAAAGAAGTTTCGACTTGTCTTTCAGAGCGATGCAAGGCTAGTTTTCGAAACAGCTATGCGAGGAGAAGATACCTTGCAATTCTCAGCAGAATTATTAGAGAGCATGAAACGACTTTGGGTTGACCGAGGCGTTCGTGATTGCTTTCAGCGGTCCAGAGAGTATCAGCTAAACGATTCCGCAAAATAGTAAGTACACCCATTCGAACTAAAGTCATGGCGCTTTACACAGAAGTAAAGGGAGGACGAGAATATTGATTATTAGTGGGAAGTTGCACTTTTTTCGAATATATAAAACTTATTTGCTCAAGAATATCATCAGCGCTGATTCAATTTTTATTGGTATGGTGGACGGTCAAGATATCCCCTGTCTGTAGGTTTCTCGCGACTCATTATCACTGGAAACAAAACCCCTAATCCGTTAAAAGCTTTGTCAAGCATCTTCAAAGAGGATTTAGTTGAAAAAAGCTTGGCAGGCACAGCGGTTATAATATTTAGTAATTTTCTCACCCCCTCCTCCCACATTTTATATATATTTTTGTTATATAGATCTATTTTGCATATCTTGTTGGTTAGATTTATTGGGAATATTCTTTGATTTATCTGACGGCGGTATAAATCTTTTTGACATTGGGATTGGCTATGTGCCCAAGAGATGTTTCCTAACGGTGTGTCTTATTTTGGAAATATAAGTCAGTTAATCAATTCACTTGTGCACTATGCTTAACTCTTCTCCTATCAATTCAATCTATTAGCAAATGTTCTTTCTTCTAGTTACTTGGATTGTTTGGAAAGGCTTGGCTCTCCTTCCTATCGACCTACCGAACAAGATATATTAAGAACTCGTGTTAAGACAATCGGCATAGTTGAAATACAGTTTACATTTCGGAAACTGCATTTTAGGTAAGTTTCAGAATCTGCATTTTAGGTAAGTTTCAGAATCTGCTCTTTAGGTAAGTTTCAGATTATACTTATTGCTACGGTTTCTTGCCAAAATATCATGACAATAAAACAAATCACGCTAAATTTTTGTTCTTCGTGTTCCCTGACAGGAAAGTGCTCTACATGACTATTCACAAAACCGCGTCATCAAAAAATTAGGCCATGGTAGAGAAATCAGCCTTGATGTTGATATTGCCTTCGCCTAGGGATGAATACAAAAAATGCTTTGCTGCAAGGGGCAAATAGATCCATGAGAATCTCATGCACTTGCGTTTGAAGTCCTATCGTTTTATCTGAATATCCCTCGAAATCCTTTTTTTTGTGGAAGTCTCGTACGCCTTGCTCTGCGGTGATTTGGTCGTTTGCAGTTTTAATAGGTAGACATTTCATTTTACTTGGCAAGCTTGAATATAGTGTATTTAAATTGTTTATAATTTCCCAATGAATATGTGTATTTAAATTGTTGATAATTTCCCAATATTTGTTATTGCTTTGCAAGTATTGTTCTTTAAAACTCTCCAGGGAATGTCAATTCAATCATTTTCTGAGGTTATTTCTTTGCTCATACCAGATTGCTCGATGTTGGTGGGCAAAGGACCGAAAGGCGGAAGTGGATACACTGCTTCCAGGACGTAACGGCTATTATTTTCTGTGCTGCTCTTAGTTGTTATGATCTAAAATTAGCTGAAGATGAAACAACAGTAAGTCCAATTCCATTAGTTTCTCAAGTATTCTCTTTTGTTTTTAAATGATATTTTAGCTGCTATTGGCTGATGCAATTGTACAGCAGATGTTTTGCTGTGTTGTTTTGTTGCGAACGAATATTTTTTAAAAGCAAATGAAATTCATGACAGTTGTGTCTATTGCGATGTGATACTTTTCTGTGTTAAAGCCAAGGCACTACATCCCGAAACATTTCGCTGGTCATTTAAATGTTCCATTGGTTGGACTACAAAATAGAGTTATTCTTACGTATCCAGTCGGCAACATAAGGCTAATTCTCAAAGTTAAAACTACACGGTTGACTGACGGGACACAGTGCCTTAAATATCGCTAACACAGTTAACAGGTGTTATTTTTCTGCACTCTGTTGTTTGCTGTTGTATGTGGTAATGAGTTGTTGTGTGTTTTGTGCTGTTATGACTAGGGTATCCCGTTGCCAACTCAGGAACTAGACGAATTTAGAATCACTAAGAAAACTGCTATTCGAGTCGAAGTATCTTAAAAGTTCAAATAACTTTATATTGTAAAAGTGAAATGCAACGCAAAAAGATTTCCCTGACCTATCAGCTTTGCCAATAAATTTTAATAAATATCTTCTTGGTAATCAGTTCCGTGTCTTTCCGTAAACGAGGTTCTGAAAGGTTGTGACAAAACCCCCTGTCAATTCGATTTTGATACTAAAGTAACAGTTCGAGTCTATAGATTTTAAATATATACCTTTGGTGATTTAAAGTGAAATTATGATTTAAGTTGGTAAGCATTGAATTGACTGAACTCTTAGAAGGCTATTTGTCGTTTTTTTAAAAAAAATAAATCTCTGAAGTATTTTCAAAATGATGTATCGTAAAGTTTTTCAAAAGTATAACACGTCTTTTTTTTACCCACTAGAATCGAATGGTTGAAAGCTTGAAGCTGTTCGACTCGATTGTCAACAACGAATGGTTCACAGATACATCAGTGATACTTTTCTTGAATAAAAAGGACCTTTTCGAGGAGAAAATACCCTTTTCGCCTATCACAATTTGTTTTCCTGATTATACAGGTAAGATTTTTGGATTTATTTTTTAACCACATGATAAATGAATGCGACGTTTATCATCGACAGGGCTTGACACCTTCTTCAAGTTGGTATTGGGACCAACAATGCAGTAACGTGTTGAGAAAAAGTTAAGCGAAGAGCATTTCAAATTTTTAGTTATTAAAATTCTGATTCAGATTGGAATCCAGATTCAGCAACAAAATGCAGCTGCATCGTCCTGAGATGTAATTGACAGGATTTTGCATCAGTTGTCAGCTGTTTTTAGCGCTCTATTCGTAGACTTTTGGGATTTATCTCTATTGTTTTAGATTTTGTATGTTTACGTTCATTTTTTCTTAATTTGCTGTTTGAGTTAATGATGATAAGCTTGAACCAATAGCGACATTTTACGCCAGTTTTGATCTTCTAAACCACTGCTTGTTTTTCTGAACCTGCCAGCAAAGTAATCAGCTTTCTTCAAGTAAATTTAAATCAGTTGGGAAGAATCTTTTTCTCGTATTGAAAGGTTCTTAACCTCCTTTATCACAATGAACTCCCATCTTTTATTCGTTTTGGTGTAACTGCCTAGTTCCCATACCTTTGTTAACCGCATCGTGCTTGTGAAAGCCAGCTTAGCTTTGTAGGGATGTTGTTAGAAAAGTGTAAAATTTTCCGATAAAGCTAGCCTGCCATTCCACTTTTAATGAATGCGTTTTTTATTTTGCAGGACCTATGATGTTTGACCCTGCAAGTTCATTTGTTAAGCAGAAATTCTTAGAAAAAAATAGGAACGAAAATAAGGAAGTTTACGTACATTTGACCTGTGCTACTGACACTCAAAACATAGATTTTGTTTTCAAAGCGGTTACAAATACAATTATACAAGCGAACTTAAAAAAGTCTGGCCTAACGTGATTTTACCTTTGAGAAGAATTCATCCGTCCGATACTGGAAGATGGAGCGACTCGCCGTACGGTAAAAATGCCACTCGAAACCTGATTGATTTGAATCACAAAGAAACCCTAATGGGTTAACCACCCAACCAGCGAATTGTTAACGACTCACGTGGGTGACTTTGAGGCGCAATGTTTCCATTTGAAACGTCCTACTGGGAGAAGAAATCATGCTGGCTACGCCTCACTGAAAATGATTTATCTCAAATATTCTTTATACTGTGTTCCAAGTGGAATTTCCAAATTGAATGTAAATACGTGGATGCAACAAGACAACAATTTTAGGCAGATTTGAACATCTTCTCGATTTCGATAGCGTATTAATTTTGAATTTGTTTATACCTGATTCGACATCTATTAACATAGGTTTGTGGTTTGGGTGCTTTTGTACTCGGACTGAGGTAAATATCCTCTTGTTCTTGCATAGAGAGTTGATTTAATCAAACATCATAACTTTTTCTGTTTGCCCACTGACAATATGTATATGTATAAGACAACTGACAAGGTCAAGATACCTATCTTCCTTGTATATACCGATTGGTATTTGTTTAGAAGATGCGTCTTCATTTCATAGTATACTTCTACCCCAGCAAGGCTGTTAAGGAATTGACATAAATAAGTTCCTATTTCCGCTTGTATATTTGAAAATATATGTAATGGCCGGTTTCCGCTTGACTCGCAACTTGGCGACAGCGAATCAACAAATCAGCGAATGCGACCAGTCTCAACTGAGTTGAACTATCCGGTCGCGCATTCGCAACGCACGATGAAGTTCAATTTGCGCATGCTCCAATGTACATTCGCTCAGTCGTGCGACCAGAGCGAATCAAATGGAAACCGGCCTTAAGGGATATAAAAATCCACGGCAGTTAAAAGTTGTTCTCCCTGTATGTTGTGCGAGTTTCATTATGACATCTTCTACTACTTTTTAGGTTGACTTTATCTGCTGCTACTAAATAATTCACGCTGTATAATCTATTTCTGTCTCGTTTTGCCGTCCCAAGTCTTGAAGGACTTTCCCGCCAATGCATTTGTGTAGAAAAATATCTCAAATCGGTAGCTTGTTATAAAGAATGTGAAACAACTGATGTAGAACTTTTAAAGAATAGTTTAGAGGTTATGAGCTGTAATGGTGAGGAAGATTTATTCGCTTTTTTGCTAAGCAGACTCAACAAATCTTATCGTGTTAGAGGTTGGCAGGAAGGTTCCTGTGCAAGGTTGTATCTGTCAACTTTTTTCATCCATGACTACATTTAGGTGTTGGACAAGTGTACACCCCCAAAAACGGGTCATGTATATCTCCGTTTCCATTATATCAGTGAACGATTTTTTAATGCAATATTTATGGCAAGTAATAGGGGTCTGCGAGATCACTCCCCACCCCCTCCGGTTAAGCCTACTGTCAATAAAAGGACTTAAGTATCTCGAGCCTGACAGAATTTTAAAAAATTGGGTAAGCTGTGTTAATTTCAAAAGTCAGTGTAGGTTTGAAACATACAGTCCCAGTATAAGGCAATATGAAGGAAACAGCGTGGTAAAAAATCTTGATGATAGTGCAGAGTTTTTAGGTCACAGATGGTGATTGCAGATTTTAGACTCCATTTCCTCCAAATTTGTTCTCACAAAGGAATATTCTACCTGTGAAGGAATATTCTTCAGTGTCAGAATGTGTAAAATATATATTCTTTTCTCAATTTATAGAAGCCATCAGTTTGGAAATAGGTGATACCTCTGCTAACTCACAATCTGCTGGTTTTAAGCAAATTAACACTGTTTTATTAATTTGCCATACTTTCAAAGTTTTTTCCCTGCTCAAGGCTTTAATTATTGAAGATTAACTACAGCTGTGCATAAAACGTTGGTTGGATCCCTTTTAATTGGCGACATCTACTCTACAGCGATAATAGTTAACTATAAAATCACTAAGGCACTTCCCCAAAGCTACATCCGTAAGACTCCCATCGAGAAACCCCAGCTCGACAAGGCGTTGCTTTAGGACACCATTCGTACATTTGTTAAACTTTAAACGTTTTCTCAAGTAATTGATAGTGTGATAAATAAAACCAATTAACTCTGCACAAGATATTAACTGTTAGTTTCATCATAAATGCACCACACATGTTAAAAGTAATATATAGACACACCGCGTTTTCCTCCATTTATCCATTGGAGCTGGTGCTTTATTTCCCGTTCAATACGTTCTTCATCATGCGCACAGCTTTGATGCATTTAGAAATCATACCATTGTAGACTATTGTTTTAATTTCTTCTAGATTTCCGTTGGAATTCATTCAAAAAACATGGTCTGTTACTAAAGAAGGAATTTTTGTTTGTTTGACATTTTCAAAATGCAAATGGCTTGGTTTTTTGCAAACCTGTAGTAATTTTTGAATTCCAGACTAAATTGAGGAAAGAATGGCTGTTTTTCTATTTTCAAATTCATTCTAGGCATGTCTTAGATCTCCTTGATGATAAAGAGACTATCTATCTTTGCGTGAGCAGTGAAAATCTTACATGGTTGAACATATGGAGTAAAACCCATCCACTGTATCTTATACTAGTAAAATCTTTTAGGTTGTCAAGTTTCTTAAACGACTTATTACTGGTTTACTTTTAGTAAAACGTGTCCTATAAAAATATGTTTTGTTAAGCTGCCGTGTAGTATCATTAGCTTCTTTGCTATTCCGCTTTTTATCATGTGTATCATAATGAATGAATTTATTGTAAATCTGAACAATTTTGTTTTTTTTCCAAATTTCATCTTGTTGTCGATTGAATTTTCAGCTTTATATGAAACTATGAATCTGAAAAATGGAAGCAAAAAGTTAAGATTAAGGAAATTGTTCCTTCTTCAAAATAGAGTTAAAAGTTGAACACACTTAAACTTAGAAAAGCTGTTTTTAGATTCATTGCGATAAATCCATGCTTGTGGTCAGCATTAGGCAATTCTGTACAGAAAATTAGCTGCAATTTATTTTTTAAGAAGCGCCTAGAAGGACAGACAGGCTCAAAGTTTCTTAACATTTTGTTAATTTGAGCCTCTAAAAATGTTTCTTGAGAACTGAATCTTGTTTTAGCGTACCAGGTGCAGAAAGTCTGTAGCCGTAAATTGCAGATTAAATTGCTGTGCCTCTTTAAGCTCTCAGCATACAATTTTTTAGAGTATTGGAACCTCGTGTTTCTTATTTCCATGTTTCTTTAAAAAGACGTGTACCTTGGCCTGCACTTTCTTGACTGCCATAATTTCACAAAATTTATATCAGGTGGAAGCCACCACTAGTGAGCTATGTTGCATTGAATTTGCAAGGTGTATGATGCCCATAGGGTCTTTGGGAATAGAAAGTGCGATATCTAAACAAGGGTTATACAACTTATTTGTCGGTTGCCCATGGAAATAAAAACAGCCCGGTTGTCATGCTATGTTGCTAGCGCGCCTGCGCAATAGTGAATCGTACGGAGTCTGCTAAGGAAAAGTTTGATTAGTCCAAGAATAACCAAGGCAGACAGAAAGTCCAGTGCAATAGCCATGGTATGCATTATTTTTTATTTAAAAACATATTTTAGGCATTAATACAGTAATTTTCACATATTTTACCCAACAACTGCACTTGGGTACATTTTTTGACCCTACCAGAATGTTAAGGCCGCCGGGCCTAAATTTTATGAGTTCTAGGTATGGTTATAGGAAAGTGCGTTAGTGCAAAGTCGGTAGAGATGTTGCTTTGAGTTTCTGTAATCTTAAAGGAGATAATAGTCTGGATGCCCAAAAGACAAATAATGGTGTAACATACTTTGATAACACAGGATAGGGTGGAACTGGTAGTATGTACACACTACACTACCTGTTATTAACGATAAAAAGACACAAGTACTACACTCTTTTTTATAAGGACAATTTTATAAGAACACGAGTCTCAAAACTGGTCAAAAGTTAAGAACAAATTAAGAACAAGCTGAAGCCAAGCTTCTGCAAATTGCAATTTTGAACAACGTTTTTTCTCAAAATCGAGGATTTTTAGCGATGTGTGGGTGCTTTTTCGGTGAATATTAAAATTTGTCAGCAAATTAAGGCTGTCTCACCCACTCTGTTGGCAAATGAGGCCTGAAAACCTCCTTAGAGCGAAAAAGCTAGCAATATCACTGCTTACACCCTCTTAATTTAAGAACAAATTAAGAACAATCCAGCCTCAGATTTTCGAAAAAATTAAGAACAGTCAGCCTGGACTTGAATTTACTGGTTCTTAAAAAAAGAGTGTATTGCAACATGATCGACAACATCCAAATCATAATTCAATGGCATTCGAAAAAATTCAAATTTCTCATACTCAAAGATTTATAATGAAATTTTCCACTTATGAGAGAATATATTCTTGCTAGATCTGGGGGATCAAATAAATGGAAATTTTTGTTAGGATTTGGAAATTTTTTAGAACTACCATATAAATGTAAGGAATTATTCAGTTATAAACAAAATAATTACTATGGTAAAAGCAATCTTCAGTTATAAATCAATCTTTTGCGCCAAAATTCTCAAATTTCAACTGGGACGATTTTGGGGGTTTCGTTAAGACTAAATGAATTGGTAAATTGCCATTTATGACAAGTTGATGAGAGAAGTATGTCAAATTACTGGTAAACATCCTTTCTGGGGAAATCAAATTAACACTAGAGAAATGAGGCAGGCATTCTTTTCTATTGTAATGATACACCCCCTTACAAAGCCCTTTATTTTACTAAAGTTGCCCACATATCTGAAAAATGTTGCAAAAGAAAATTGATTGGAAAGAATTTCATGTGAATTCAAAAATCAAAATTTTCTTTGATTTCAAATTGGCAAACTTCTTCAAAGGATGTAAAATCCATGTATTCTGGATTACTGCCAACCTGAATTCACTATGCATCAATAAAAGAAGAACCATTTTTCAAAATATTTAAAAGTCAAGCAGGCCAAAATGAGCAAAAGTTGGGAGTTTGTTTAATCAAGCACCTCAATTCATTCAGGTACTTGATAAAGCTCCTTATTGATGTTATTGCCGGATGATCGCTAAAAGTTGTCCCAAACCTTTTTAAAACTGCTTTAATTGCCTAGTAAAAGCGCTAACATAGTTAAAATACAAAGTGTCTATAGTATTCTTAAACATTCGCTGTGGACTTGATTTTCAAATGCACTTTTCCGTTGAGATGTGGTTAATTCAGCTTACTTATATTTCCTGTGTTTTGGTATATCTGCTTTTTATCGTCTATGTCACTTGCTTGGATCTCAAAAATGACTATAAATGTGTTGATGGATGAGTCATTTGTTTTTAACAATTTACCGTTTTGCATGTAATCTAATGCTTGCCTGGTTGGGTTTGGGTAAATGCTAACCCTATCACTTGTGATTGCTGGGTCAAACTAAAAGGCCTGCAACACAGAAGCCAAGCAAATGGAAAATAGCACTATGTGATCTGAACGTCACTTGGGATTTGCGAAAGCCATGGAAACTTTACATTTATGTTTTGTAACAATCAGCTAGGCGCTCGAGCAATCAAGCCTGTACACATTCTGTTGTTATTAAACGCTCTTTGCTCAAATAATCAAACAAATCATGGAAGGTACGGCAAACTTTACTGAGCAGCACATCCTAGGGTTTTCACAAATCTCTTGCCTGGAAATAAGCACTGTAGAAAGTGGTTTTGTCGGCAATTTGGCAGCGAGCAGTGATATGATAAGGCCTAAGCCAGACAAACGAAAAAGGAAAAAATATGGGACCAATGGAAAAATGTTCTAGTATTATGATTTTTTCATTTCGAAAGAGGCTTTGAGGAAAAATGTGCCATTATGTGGAAAAAATGAGAAAATGTTCAAGGTTGGATGCACCAAAACTGTTTTCCAAAAACTTTTGAACCAAATTTGCACCACAGCAGCACAGCTTGCTTTGAAGCATTTTGCAAGGGTTATCCACTTGTGGGATTTGTTTTGAAGTTTTAAACCAATTTACAAAAGTTATCCACTGGTGGGGTTGGTTTTGAAATTGGGCGTAGTCCTGATGTCATAGTGACATCACCAATTTACTTTCCTTAAAAATTGAAAATTTATAATATTTAGCAACATTTAGTTAGAAAATCAAATTAGAAAACTTTCAGGTAACTTGGCAAAAAGGGACAGTCGCTTTGCAGTTATATTTGGCATAATCCGTATCCCTATTCATTTGATCTAGATGGATGAAGACATAGTACTAGATGCTTCTAACTGAAGGGCAAACCTTGGCCTTCACAAGAAATAACAGTTTCCTCCCAGTAATTTTGGGCTTCATGAATACTGAGTGCAAATATCCTTCTTTTTATAGTTTATGTTCATCTTTTTAATTCTGTCATTGTCTGGCCTAAGGTGTATTTCCGCTCTTTAGTATTGCTACTGAATTATCAAGAGGTCTTCCGTTGACCAGTTCACTTCAGGAGTTTGGTATAACTACCTTTTGTCAATTGCATATCTTTTTGCCTATTCTCTTCTCCTCCATCAAGAGTTTTTCTGCTTGTTCTCCTTCTTTGGCCTAATGGCAGGGGCGAAAATACCGGGGGGGGGGTGTGTGGGGGTGTGACACCCCCCCAATCTAAAATATAGTCGATTTCGCAGGGCGCCAAGAAGAGCTTTGTTGCCACGCAGAAATGTCACCTCTGAAGTTGGTAAAGGGCCGTTTAGGAATTTTGAAATGGAAATATCCTATTTGTTATGAACCTACCTTCCTGATATTGCATTTTAGAGAACGGAACAGGTATGTAAGGAAAAGCTCCGTTATTTGCAAAGCGAAAGCATGTCTTACCGAAAGTCATAGCCAATGGATGCAATGATAATGCATATATTTATGAGGGCAAGGTTGAGTCCATATAAATTAATTTAAGTTGTAAATTATTTTCATGACAGGCACGGCGTCACTGGGGGGAATAGGGGGCTGAAGGCCTTCACTTTGGTCAAGATAAGAACTTTTTTATAATTTTTTCTATTAATTTTTAACAGTGCATGAAGTAAAAAGAGAGTAAACTGTTAAGATGCCGATTTGTTTGATCTAATTACTAACTTTTTCACATATATTTTTCTTTTTTTTCTTTTATTTGCATTAATTCAGTAAATCACTTTCTGTATCATTGCAATGTTTTAATTTTGGATGGCCTTCTCGATACAAGAAACTGCACATTTTTGTTCAGGAAATGAAATTCCCCCAATCAAAACAACATCTTCCTCTGTCATTCACAACTATGTGCAGTCTGAAACGAAAGGTTACCGTTTCTTTCTTTCCACAACGTCTATCACTAGAGTTTTAGCATGACATGCCCCTCCCTATTTTTCCCAATAAACAATAATCAGTTTCTTAGCACAACAGTATTTTGCTAAATTTCAGTCTGAAAGATGCTTTTTAGCCCTATTACAAGGTATAATTTCAAAAAAAATTTCACGTCGGACCCAACCATGGTGGGTCCTCCTATATCACTAAACGTGATCTTAGTACCCCGGCTCAATTTCGTTGCTCCGCCCATATAATGCACCAAAAAATAATATGCTACGAGATAGAAGCTTTATTATCAAGGAAAACCAAATTTGACATATAATTTACGCTGACGTAGAGAAATAGATATTTCATAGGCAATGAAGTTTCAAGTTTGTTTTTATTGCTTAGAAGTTTGTCCTTGGTAAAGACCAGTGTACACTGGTGAAGCTTTCACTAGTAACCTATAGAGTATAGAAAAACCTTTGCTACGAGGTCTGCAGGGCATCACTCAGCTTTGCAGGGCAGAAACCCTTTTCACCCCCCCCCCCAAACCTACTGGCCAAGTTACGCCCCTGCCTAATGGCAACTTTCTGTGACATAAATTCCCCGGCAAGAGCTCTGAGAATAACTAGGGATTTGCTGTTTGGTACATTCTGTCATATTTTCCATGATTTGTTTGACTATTTGACTATGTTCGCGGGTTTAACTACAAGTACTAGAATGCATTGCACCATTACGAAATTAGGGGAAAGGTCCATTCATGGTTCATTAAGACAAATGCCTGATTTTTAGCTTCCTTAGTCTTTATTGTTTGTAGAAATTATGCAATTTCAGTACTCTCTAATCACTGCAATTAGAAACATTACATGACCTAGTGATGTACATTTGTATTCAAAGCATGCATCAAATTATGTTAAAACATGACATTACTGTTTTTTATAAAATCATTGAGATGCTTTTCTCTAGTGTTGTTGATCTTGATTTTCATAGGTTATAATTTACAGCTCTAAATAATGCTGTTTATTGAATGAACAGGGCCGTACATATTGGGCTATTTTCCAATGTTTAGTAATCTTCACACAAATAAAATTATTAGAATGCCAGTCCACAAATATCAGCCTTTTAATCTGAAATGGGCCTGCCAACAGAAAATGCCCAGTACTTGATTCTTGCACTTGTAGCCTATTCAGGTATGCAAAATTGATAATCACAGGGGTGGACAATTCCAGTAAAAAGATGGTCCTCTGTTGGGAGACTAGCCAGCTCTTTCACTGGCCTCCTGCATATTGCCTTTAGTCTCGGAACTCTGGCAACAGAGGTGGACATTTCCAGTAAAAATTTGGTGCTAGTTACCCAGTGTACAAACTGGTCGTCATGGGTGGCTGGTAGACCAAATTGTTCACCCCTGAATCACAGTTTGAGAATTATGATTTCTAAACATTGAATGAATCAAAGATTGTCTGCAAACTAATACCCTATTTTAACTTGATGCATTTAAATGCACAAAAATCACAATGCAACATTGTTATGAATGGTTTTTGGAAGTGACATTTTTACTTTTAGTCTGAGGTAGAGGAGACCTTGAAAAGGATTCAAGTCCATAAAGGCGTAATTGGAACTATAGTTGTCAATAATGAAGGTAAATCTTTTCTTCTTCTCAAATCCATCAAGTGTTAATTTTCAAGATTCTTCCATTTTATTATGATATGAGGTCATTCCAGTGTCTTGTTTTTATTCCTTTTTTCACAGTTTAAAGGGACTATCAACAATTCACCCAATTCCTTATTATTTAGTAATTTTGCCACCCACCAACATTTATTTCATGCCCCCTAGCTAGTTGGATTCAGAATGTTATCCATCTACCTGCCTATTCTTTATTCCAGACCCTTTTTCTATTCTGGATTTGTGAGTAATTCCAAAGAATTATGATGTGATGTTAATCAGGAGCTTTTGTTATGAAATTTAAAGTAATTATTTTTTTAATCAAAGGTGAAAACAATTTAACACAGTGTAAAGTTTCTATGAACTGCCACATGTTTCTTTTTTTTTTAGCTTTTCAGAAATATGTTTCTTTTTTGGATAGATCTTTAATCGGTAGAAAGTGACGACAATGCTACATTCATTTATCTAGGAATCCCAATAAGAACAACTCTTGACAATTCAACAACTTTGCAGTATGCTGGATTGATCCACCAACTCACTGCCAAAGCAAGGAGTACTGTTAGAGATATAGATCCACAGGTAACTATTCCTCAATCTAATGTTTTTTATTATACTAATGCAAATTCCTTCCTGACTAGAAATATTTATTGCTTTGACTGTACATTGCCTGAATATAAATCTTCAAGTCTGGAATAGACAGGCCTTGCCCGGAAAGGCGCTTGATCGAGCGCGCGCGCCTAGAGCGCACCCAAAAAAAACCTTGGAGAGCGATTTATAGAGCCCCTCAAAACGTAAAAACAATATTAACACGGAGCAAAATAAATTTTTGGAATTTGTTGAATCAACTTGATCAAGCATAAACAATCTTCCCAACAGACCGCAATATTATGATTTGCGTAAGATTACCCCTTGAGAAAAAATTCAGCAAATTCAACGTTGGGTTTTCGATATCATTTTTAATCTAATAACCCTCTAATAACCATCAAGGACACAGGCCATCAAGCCTATTCTCCGGCAGATTTATTTGATTTTTGAGCAAGCGTTCATCTTCTATTGAAGTATATATTATTTTCTGTTTTTCTTAATAACTTAAAATCGCCTGTGCAAATCAGCGATCACGTTTCCGTCCAAATTATCGCATTGCTTTTCATTTGCTTTTGCGAGTAGTAGATGTTCTAGCGTTTCTTATAGATTGGATAACATGAAAAAAGGAAACAAAGTTAAATGTTCGATTTAAAGCCATGCGTTTTGATGAAGCAATATGTGAAGCTAAACATAACAGTAGTGATACTGACACTGATAAAAGCTCATCAAATGATGGCAACTTACATATCTAGAAAAATCTGAACAATTTTGCGACTTTATTCTATTATATTTCTATATTTATATTAACATAGTGTTTGTTGCATGTTTTGTTATTTCATATTATGGTGCTTTCTGGTATCACCGTTGAATTTCATATTTAACATTCTTCCGAAGCTTTTGATATGAAGCTCTCGATCTCCTAAAGCTCTCGAAGGATGCTCTCAAGGAATTTTACTTAGAGGTGCCAAATAGAGCACCTAGAGTTTCTAAGGGGCTCTTTTTATGGAGCACCTTCATTTTACTTAGAGCAAGGCCTGAATAGACAATGTTGTTTGGAATAAATAGGATTAACAGAAAACTTCCCAAATCCTTTTAAACAAAAGGGAGTTTTGAATAAACGGGGTGAGTGGAAAATTTCCCAAATTACACATGGCTTTGGCTAAATATCCACACATTTGTTTAACGAGCACATATTGATATGCTTATAGTCTAATATAGTTTAAACAAGATTTTAACAGTCAATGAAATGCTACAATGGCTGGGTTTTACAATTACTTGCAACTGTTAAAAGATCAAAAACTTAGTTCCCAAAATTTCTTGATACATTAGGCACAAAATTGATTATTTGGCATCTGAAACAAGGATATTGTGGGTGGATTTTTTAAACATTCCTAAGGGGGGGAAGGAAGCCTCTTTCTGTTCTAACCTCTTTCTGTGCAGATTCTACAATACTGAATTTGGTTCAGAAAATTATGTGCAGTATGAGGAATTAAAAATGTCACCAATATTCATGAATGGTGGTCTGGACTCACCGTTAGGGACCTGTATGTTCATGGATGACAGGGGCAAGACTCACGTGGCCATGGAGCTACCTATCCCCATGAACCATCAGAATGTTATTAGCATGTTTTAGATCTGTGCCTTTGTTTTAATGTTTGTCGTTTGATAACTTGGTCCAATTTTACTTCTAAGATTTTGTCTGGTATCTCGCATGAAAAGATATTGATGTTATACCTTTTAGCAAAGTTGACCTAATTTTTAGTTAGAAAGCAGGCTATTTGATGAAAGTTGAATGTTTAAGATAGCTATTGTTTTATTTTTTTGATGCAACCTCCATAACAAACACTTGTTTATTCAGAATGATCTAACTTTCCTGCGGATAAGATCAAAGAAGCATGAAATCATGATTGCACCTGGTAAGCATGCTTTCATTTCAAATATATTTTTTTTCATGTCCAGAATAACATACCCAGAAAGACATATCAAGAATATTGTCAGCATTCTGTGACAAATTTTCGACGGGCACCACTTTATAAACTATTAAATCCTCATACAGTATGGTATATAATCTGTTCTGGTAACTGATATTATCTGACACTGTATTTTCTGTTATAAGCACAGTTTATAAGCGTTTGAAGAACAGGCTATATGGGGAGAGGCTTTTTCAAGCAAAGAAATGGTTGCACAGAAATTGTCCTCATGGTGAACATCTCTCAAAAAATTAAGATACTGGAAAGTAGTGTTTAACAAAATTGGAAATCAGTTAAAAAGAGGCTGTTTAAATAACCAACTTGTTATAGGCATTTTGAAGTAATGAGGTAATATATGTTTGGTCATATTCAAATTAAGCTACATTAATAAATGCAATACTCCATTATAGTGGATATAAGAAACTGCTAACATTTGAAATATTCCACAAATATACTAGCTTGCGTGCTGTACAATATATTAACAAATAACTAGGAATTTAAGTAAAATTGTATTAGGAATAATAGATTATCAATTAAAACGTTTCAGGCATAGCCCGTTATCTAGTGGTATATGATGGCAAAGCTTGAAATATGTCGGCAAATGCAAAGAAAAGGTGACATAAATTGAAAGATGAAATAAATTGAGGATTGTCGCTTTTCATGATAAAGATGCAAAAATAAACGAAAAGCTTCTACATCTTGAATTAAAAGCTTTTAAAATGCTATCTTAAAATGGAAGAAATTATAAATACCTTTCATTTTATTCCATTTTTTGTTTCGTTGGTTTAAAATTAGCTTGCTAGTTTTAGGATTTATATTTTTTGCTCGGTTAAGATTTTGAAAAGTTTTTAAGTGCTATTTTTAAGTGCAATTCTTTCAGGGAACGGGATAAACGTATAAGAGGAAAATGTTTCTTATTAATTTTGGTTAAAATGGTCTGTGTGTCAGAGGCAAGTCTTTTTGGGCTATTTGATGTTTGATACAGGAACACAAATCTATGATTTGGTGTATGATATCTAGCCTATGCTCGATTGTGACAGAAATAAAACATAATGACATTTTACTTTTCTAGACAAAGAATATATGCTGATTGTCATACAGAACCCTAGTGCATAGAAGAGGTGAAAGATTGATGAAAGCAGCACAAAACTCTGTAATAAACTTATTTTAATTTTACTTGTTCAAGGCTATTTTACTCTTTTGCTTTGTTGTAAATAATGACAGCTCTTCACAATTTGTTTGTTCATTGTTTTGATAACTTGCTCACAATTTGATGGGATAATTTTTCAACCTGGCTAACCATGTTGAATGCTAGTAAAGTATAGCAAAACTAACAATTAGAAGGACACTGCCAGTTAAAAGGTTGGTGTGTATCTCCCTCTTCATATATTTTTGCCGGTAGTTATACTTCAAATTTTGAAAATATCATTTTCAGCAAACAATGCTTTTCCACCGAGTTGCACGTTTTTATTTGTTGCCGTACTGTTTGCACTCTAGTTTATGTCATATTGTTTTCTTTTTTTGTTCTATCCTTTGATAACACTTTATTAATCATCTTTTCTCCTAATTTAGTTATAAATGCCCCCAAGAGTTGATCATAAGTAATTTGTTTACTGCTACCGAACTATATTTACATGTATCTTTTATTTATTTAGTATTTTTGTGAGGGCGTAAGCTGTTTATCACTTAATCACTTAAACTATTAATTAAATGCAATTTGCAGGTCCTATGAACAAAAGCTATCCTAGAAGTGCACGTTTTTGTTCTTTACCTGGGTATTATTCACTGCTTCTCTTTCAATGATTGCACGCAAATTGGTAGGTGATAGAAAGATTGCACGCAAATTGAATCTGCAACGGTCCACATTCTTATCTAAATCAAATGAGGCTTATTGATTTTTTATGTTCTCATTACCTCAAAACCTCTCTCAAATCGCTTCTCTCAAAATGGGTACGAAAATTCTTCTAATGTTACATCATTTTGAAGAGAAATCTTTCAAGAAAGTTTTAATAATCAACACATATTTTGGAAAGGTTTCAGTAGCATCAGGTATGTATGTAATTTCACCAACAGGTTGTTCAAAAAATAGTGTATTTCCCTTACGGTATTTTTTAGACTTTTACGTCAATTGTTCCCATAGGAGCGTAGACAGGTGGAGGTCTCGTTAGTCCTTTTTAGTGGAACAGTTAAGCATTGAATTTGGGGTACCGATCCTTGCACTAAACGTTGGCTAAGGCAGAGAGAGAGGGCTGAGAGACTGACAACTGCAATGCATCCCCTCTTTGTAAGTTACATTAAATGTAATTTTAGGCATCTTCTTGGTAGCATCAATTAATTCGACTCAGTTTTAATCAAGCTTTAGATGGTACTCAGCTGGAAGTGCTAAGATGGCACGCGATTAAAGTGCAATGGAAATAATTTTCAAACAGTTTAGAAACGATGTCTCAAATTGAATCATTGCTCAGTCATCAAGATATACAAGAGTCAGAAACAGTTGTTGAGGTTAACGGACAGATTTTGAAATTGTTCAACCAGATCTGAAAATGTTCAACCTCTGTCTGCAGGGCCGTTACTAGCTGTTGTACTTTGGAGGAGGTGGTTCAAGGTTCCATTTGCTGACAAACTGGGCAAGCAGTCCTTGATTTGCCAACTGAGGACCCCCAGATGGCAAAACGCCTTGTTTTTGCAACGAATTTTTTTCTCAAAGGGGATATCACTCCCCTTCACGCCCCCCACACTGACGGCCTGGTTCCCTGGTCCCCAATGCATTAAGTAACCCAGTTAAACAGATTTTACTCAAATGTGAATTTTTTATTCGAAATTCTCAGTCAACTTAGTATCTACACACTTTTTTAAAAATAATACATGTTTTTTTTGCCTAAGATTTTTCTTAAATCATTCTGTAACTACTAAGCCGTAACTGAGCTGCATTATAGTATTGATGACTCTAGGGGCACTTTCCAAAAAAGTCAAATAAACAAAATATCAATTCTTGATGAAGCTTGAGCCTTGCATTATTCTTAAATATCAGCGATTTTAAACCTTAATTAATGTTCTCACAGGCGATGTTCTTATAAAAAGGTGTGTATCCCACATTACAGTACCCAGCTACGTATCTTAAAAAGTTTTTAATTTAGAATACAATATGTCCGAAGGTGATGGTGGAAACCTTTTTGGAAAATATTTCTATTGAAATTCATAAGAACCAAAGTACTATATTTCATTATCCGGATGGGGTATAAAAGTAAAGGCTACCGACGAGGACATAAACGAAGATAGGCCCTATTTTATCTTTTCTTATGCGATTTCACCGATCAATGATTTGCCAGAAACTTTGCAAAAAATTGGGATGTTCCGATACACCCTGGATACACCCTAGGCTGAAGGAAAGCCTTTTTACAGCTGCGAAATTTGCAAAGGACCCTGCGGCTCCGCCTTTCATTCCCGCCAAAACATGTGCTGTTTTGATTTTGCTACTTAGGGAGGTTTTGCGAAGACAAAATGCCATAGCTAATTCACTGCATGAAACAATAAGCGCATGCCTCTGGTGGGCATCCATAATGACATTGGCTTTCCTGGATTGACAAATCTTTTTGTCATCTAATAAAAAATCTTCAGCAAATATTCGCAATGATGTCGTGATGGTGGAAAGAATTATGCATACAAGGTACCTAGAAACACCCTTCTTTGGGCATTCATTGGATATGTTGCTTTCAGTTTTGCAACCTCAATGGTTGTTTGGTAAGGTATTAAATTATGCCTTCGATTCAATTCGTATGCCTTCAAATTTTCAAATAGACACCCCTTTTTTAATACAAAGGACCCTTGTGATACCAGAAACTCCTTAAACTTCCTACCGCTGTTGTCCCTTCATAACTACCCCTGCTTTTCCATAAGTTGCTTTAATAATGACCTTGTCTCATTTTCTTACGTTATCTTATTTCTCAATTCAGGAAGAACTCATTTTTTGGTGGGCCTTTTATACTTGTTTTGGAAATGCTGGCGTTGAAAAGGGTTTTAAATCCTAACCTTTTTTGCATCTAGGATCCTAAATAAATATTTAAATGTTGTTTCCTTGAAGTTATTGACAATTTTTGAGATTTTTAATATCCAAAGCTCTCAATACCTCCTAGTGACATGACCATGCAATTTATCACTTTCAAGTCTCCTGCATCCTTACTTCGAGTTAAATTTCGTCCATCACAGACATTTGCCATTTATAATGAGATGGGCCAGTTGTAACTTTCCAGAAATTTCCTTAAACTATTACAAATTGGCCTTCACTTGTCAAAATATTTTCCACTTAAAAGTAAATTTGTGAATGTTGTGAAGAAGTGAGAAGGATTCTGGCAACAGCACACATCCTTGCCTACCACCACAAACTGCATGGTACTCTGTCACTACATTTACCTTTTAAATTTGCCAAAAATACTTCATTTTTACATACTTGGCCTTTTTATCATATGGTTGATTTTCTCCAGTTGATGAAGTGCTATAAATCCCCTTTCACATAGCAGAATAATAGCTGCTTTAAATTTAGCTGAAACATTTTAAGCTTGATTGCAAATATCAACCACAGCAAAGAAGTGAAATAAGTAAAATAAAATGAATCAAATCGTAATATATGGCTGTAGCACTTGACCAGGACACACAGTCCTTATATAACTTGAAATTTAGGTAAAACTGTACAAGGAAAATAAGAGCAAATTTTAAAAAATGTCGTTTGGAGCATAGCCAGTAGCAAGTCCCACAATGTATGTCAATCTAACAAACAAAAGGTTCTTTTCCCCTTCTGTATAGCAACAGTCTGGCAACAAATTTCAAACAATCCCTGAAGTTATAGTTAATAAACCATTCTGAGTGTTTTTCTCCTTTCATTATTATGGTTTTATCTACAATACTACATGTTTGGTCCCAAGAATGTTACATGATATTCTCAAAAGAAAATCCTTTTATGAAGGCATGATAATGACCAAGACCCTGTATTGACCCATGTGTCGACCCATGTGTTCATTGAGCATTTCAGTTTTTCAAAGCATCACATTGTTTTAAAATCTGTTGAATTGTTTTGAGAATATTTTGACCCTAATAATTTTAGGTTCATTTTCAATAATCACATCAAAGTGCTACAACAAAACGGAGTATTCAACAAAACAGAAAGAAAAATTTGCTCTTCACAAAAATCACCCCCCTTTAGCTAAACTAAACTACTAATGGTGATTTGCCATATTGGTATTGCTAAACTACTTGCTTTCTAATCAAAGCTAATATGATCTCATCAAAGCTTTTTTGTTGTCCTTAACTGACGCTGAGCTTTGTAGAGCCATGTTTTTAAAAAGTGATATTTAACAAAACAGGCAAAATTTGAACTTTGCCTGCTTGCTACCAGTCAAAGTTATCTTTTTATATTACATCCTTTTTTATAATAACAGACACTTTTAACGGAGCCTTGGTTTTCTTATTTTTCGAATAATTTGGAGCCTGGCTGTGCTGAATAACCTGATGAAGAGTTATGCTCAAAATGTGGTACTAAATATTCATTTCTTGTACAAAGTCATTATTTTATTGCATCCATTTTTGTTCATTACTTGATGTACAACACGCACAACTCCATTGATTATCAATGTGCTAATTGTTTTTTTGTTTCAACATTGATTTTTATACAACTGCATGGTATAAATTGTTTTTAAGATTGCTAAATAACAGATTTGCAGGTCACTTTTGGTAGCACTGTCTATTAGCTGACAATATCTGCTCTGTTTTGTTAAAAGGCCAGAGTATTATCAAAATACTTTGTTTTTTATCTCTAATGTTTCACTTGAGGCTGAGCATTTTCCTCTAGAAAATCAGGTCTAGAAAACAGGAACGGGGTAGAACATTCCAAATTTTACAAGATCTAGCGAGGTAGGAAGAATTGCGGAATTGAGTTTGTGCGTTATGCAAGTAGACTTGGAAAGGGTGAGCACTAGAAGCATGTCTGGTATTTAGTGTATGTCTCAGGAGACAAGCCTGTCAAGATGCAAAGACAAGCCATCTTCTCAAATCTACATCTCGATTTTATCATTTATTAAAGTTATCGTCATCAGAATGTCTTCAGAATACTGGTGGTTGTAAATCAGAATAGAGTGACGATTTGGCTGCACCTTATTCACATTAAAATATTCACCAACCCGTTGGGCTTTATAGTCCAATCCACCTTGTTCTGTCTTACAAACCAGCTGCTTGTGCAATCTTTCAAGTAAAAACACTTTGCAAACACGTCAATCTACCAGATTACCACCAGATGCTATCATATTTTGTCTTCATTTCCTCGGCTTGTCAGAGATTCTTGTTTGCCTAGCTCATAGGTGGGCCACGTATTGAAAGGTTCAACAAATTAATATGATCACCTACCTTCAACTGTGCGCAGAAATAAGTAAGAAAGATTTTTGAGATTGATCGAAATCAGATTTCTTTGCTAGTCCAAAGTCACGGTAAAGCAATACCCTCTTCTAAATTAATATAGCTATAAGAACCTACGACTTTGCTAACAGATAAATTTGCTTGAGTCTTGAACAAGCTACGTAGCTAATTGGACCGTGAAAAGTATAAACAAGTAACTAAAGTTAGATTGAACAAACTTTGCGTAAGCCCCACGTTTGTGGGATTTTTGTGTCATTTTCTTAGGCTCTCCTTCGCAAGGAAAAATGTTGATTGTTTCAAATCCTATAAGGAAGGCAATAATTAGACATTTTAATACATAGTGAAATCAATCGATGTCAGAAATAGGTTTTATACAATATTATGCTTTTTTGGTGACTTTATCGATCAATAGATTCTTAAGCTGAAACTCGAAGGTCCTTATTTGGATTCTTGACCTCCACATTCCATTGCACAAGAAGCCAACGATTCTATGAAAGATTAGGTGAGAAATATAATTTCTACAGACAGCCATTACCTTGCAAATTTGCTTATAACAGTTACAAACTGCCCAAATAATAACACAATATGATCAAAATTTGACTTAAAACTTTAAAATTTGACTGAAGACAGAGACGTGTGGTTTAATTGAAAAAAAACTCCGTTCAGTTACGTTAAGTTCAAGTCCGTCGACCTCATTCATTTGATTCCTCTAAGTGAATTTAAATGGTAATACCAAGAAATATTTTCGTCAGGAGAGTTTTTCAAGCCACCTGTTAACAAAATTCTGTGCGCGTTGTTTAGAGCCTTATAAGTTGTTCTGAATTCGCTGTTAAGGATGAATGTTATTATTGTCGGCAAAGATAGCAAGATATTGTAAAAATTCCCATGTAACAACCTTACAATTTAAAATCACCCTTTTTAAGTTCTTATTCATATGATACTCTTCTTAAAAACATGATGCAATATTCTTAAATAGATTCTTAAATAGATTCTTATCAAAAGAATTAATAACAGATGTTCGGGAATTTAGGCCAAATATAAGAAAACAAGCTTTTCACTTACTCACTGCTATCATTCAATTTTATAAAGAACAATATACACAGAATATGCTTCTAGAGATTAGTACATACTTTGTGAAAGAGATTTGCTTAAGTATCAGAATGTGCAGTTATCAGGGTCTTGCGGTTTGATATTTCCATCAGATGATCCTTCGGCTGTTTTCTCAAAGAGTTTTGTGAACAAAGCATGATCTAATTTCAGTTCTCTCCATGCCTCACCGATCTATTTAATCATCAGGATCGTTCTGTTTGATGCTGATATTTTGTCATATTTACTTTTTTTTAAGATAGGCACCCTTCTTGAATTTCAGGATGAATAGGTTCTTCTGTAATAGGGTGAAATGAGAACATTTTTAGGTCTTAGGTTCTCATAAGTGGGTGGTTCTTATATGCGGGATTTTTTACTGTAACTTGAATGAAGCCTCAGAAATATATCCGAAAAAAGGATCAAGATCAGATCCTTTTGGGACACCACATGCATCATTCTTATGGGACACCACGTAAACTGAATCATACAGCTATCTGTTGCTGAAATAAACAAAGCCAAGACAACACTATCTTTCTAAAGAAAATCGAGGAAGGATTTGAAGATTAACTGTGTCGAAGGCTTATTGAAAACAAGAAAAAGTCCACATCCACGCTCTTTATGACATCAACGATAATCTTAAACCTATCAGTGCTACAAGGAAGAAAGAGGCTTAAGAAAGTTTTCACAAAGCTTCTTTGCCTTGTGAAAAGTGTCGATATCAAATTGATCAAAGGAAGCAAAAAGGCCATTTGGGAAAATGCATTGAATATTCAATGTTCATCACAAGGTTGCTTTTAATTTAGGCGTCGGAACTTCTCACTTCATGTACATGTGTAGTTAAATATTGGATGTTTTTTAAGAAGATGACTCTCAATTTCGGCGTTTAAGTTTTCTAAATAATTTTTGCATAAATATTCGGGAGCAATTTAATGTCAATCCTGGCCAATTGCTTGAGAAAATTTTCACCCGAATTTTCCTGATACAATCTCTATTTTCTTGTTTGATCTTTAAAATGATAACGAGTCTCGAAAATTATCTCTCTGGTATTCATGACGGGTACCGCTCTCATTTAAATCATAATACTTGACAATTAATGATGTAGCTGTCCTCATAGTACTTTGTGGTGATTCAGAAATAGCTGAGAAAAAAAGACTTTAGATAATAGCCGCGAAGGAAAAAGTAAATTGAATTTGTAGCTGTAGAAAGAATATGGCTTGTATTATGAAGTATGTCGGATCACTTCGGCCTTCTTCCAGTTGTTCTCAGAGCAGAGCCTGTACAATAGAGAACCATAGTTGCCCTTGACTTTATTATTTTTACCTTCTAGAGGCTGTGATACTCCGCAATTGGTCCCATCTGCTTATGCATCAATCAAGTTCCTCGTTGGGATAAGACAGACTTGAGTTCAGGCGAATCTAATATTTGTGATAAGGAAGATGTTTCTGTTGTGCTGAAAAGTGAGAATATTTTTCCTGTATACTATGATACTTTGCTAATTTACCAATAATTGCCCTTTTTGATTTTATTGGTGTTTCGTATGTGTAGTTTTGAGAAGTTAAGTGCAATCGCATGTTGGTTCATAAGATTGAGTCTTGCATAGATTCATTTGCGAAGAAATTAGAAAGCAAGTGTTAAGAGGATGCGTGCATTCCAAAATGTTAAGAAGATGGGTACTATTCCATAGTTTTTAGAAAATGGGTGAAATTCCTTTATAATTATGGATAGGTGCAACTTTGTAATGTCTTGAAGATAACTGCAGAAGATAATTGTATCAAGAAGATAGGCACAACTGCATAGTAATGAAGAGATCGGTGCAATTGCAGATTGTAAAGGGGGTGGATGCAATTCGAATGTGGTAAGAAATGGGTGCGATTTCTTTATATATATAGACAGGTGAAATTCCTTTGTGCAATTAGATAGGTGCAAATTCCTAATGTTGCGAAGAAAGCTGCAGTTACATTGTGCCAAGAAGATAGGCACAATTGCATAGTAGTGAATAGATAGCTGCAATTACATAGTGTTAAAAATGTCTCATCGCAAAGTAATGATAATAAAGGTGCAATTACACAGTTATTATATACAGGTGCTTTTCATGTATAAAGTTGTACGAATTTGAACCCCCGTTGACATTATTTTGCCATGGCTGAAAAATCTTGTCCAATCGAGTCTAATAATTTGAATTTTCATTAGATCTTTGCTTTTGGGTTTTGGCAAATTGGTTTCCTTATATCCTAGTTCCCTTTATCTTAATTTTAGCTTTTCTTAGTTACCTCGCCTAATCAAAGACTCTCAACGAAACGTTGGTGTCTTACTGCGAACGCTTTCCTAAGTAGACTGGAAGCTCAGATCGCTATCATTATCGATGGCTGATCATCGCTTTTACTTATTTTTGCTTCCTTTTGCGGAATTTTTTCTAAATGTAGTGTCACAGTCCGGCTGATTCTGTTATGTTGGTGATCACTCTTGTCTTCTGTTATTGACCTAATAATTCATGATTTCCAGCTAGCCTCAAAATTTGTTATGATTCTAAAATCCTAGCCAGTGTTTTTCAATAGATTATTTCTCTTGTATTTGATGTTTTCTAAAGAAGGCTGAGGGGGGATTATTTCAAATGGTTTAGTATACAGTAATTATCTTGACAATATATCACATTTAGTAGAGCTGCGAAGTTCGTTTTTGATGACTGGAATTAAATATTTTAAAATGTTCATGATGTGACAAACGGAAGATTAGAACAAATGCGAGGGTTTGAATTCAAGCAGGGGTGGATACGAAATAAAAGCTGACGGGCGCACATTAAAACTACTCAACCGGCGGTTTAGAGGGTCTCCCTCATGGTCAAGGGTGGAGCCATGATAGGGGCAATGCCCCCGGGAACAAGAGAAACTAGTTCTAATTTTAAAGGTAAAAAACCCTGAAGTTTACCACGTCGATTGTTTCAACCACTATAGATGAAAAAATATCATCTTGCACAAGAAAATCGTGCTGATTTTTGTCTCTGTCATACGATTTGTCCCGCTAAGCAAGACTGATACACTTTTATCGATGAAAGGCCTCAATTGGAAATCCTTTTTTTAGGAGCGGAAGTTATAATACCAACAAGGTTCGAAGGTCTTGCAGTTATTCTGAAGGTGGCATCAGGACTGGCGAAATTATTCAATGTTTAACCAGCTCTGAAACCATCAAATTGTTCCTTTCATAAAAAATTTCCACCTTTTTAGGGTTTTCCAAATCCTCCAGCAAATCAAATGCGCAGTTGAAAATAATTTGAGATCGTAGCAAAAAGCCTTGCATATTTGTGTGGCACGGGCGGCCTAGGAATCTCTTTGAATTTCTTCTACATTGAAATCGTAGCATTGGCTGCGCGATCGACCATGACCAAGGTCAGTCCTGTGTTTATTGTGTGAAGTTAGTTAAGCCCCGTTAAAACGCTTTTAACATTTCACTGAACATCGCTCAACATTTGTCGATTGCTAATGTTAAGAGCGTTTTAACACCCTGTTCAGCGATGTTGAGTGGAGTTTGAACAGATTCAAAAATTTTCAGCGGGTCGACTCAACATTTCTATTGTTAAATGTGTTGTTGAGAGATGTTGAGAGCCTTTTAACACCCCCATACACCCCATACAATAATGTTCAGTCGGCGCAAGCGCACTAGACTTGGATTCTGCGCGCCAAAGAAAGGCTTCAACGCGTCAAGATCTCAGATCAGACCAAGTGGTTGAGAGAAGTTAAATTTCATAAATCGTAATGGCACACCATGACAAACGCTTGGAAACAGTTGGCAGTGAAAGCAAATCAGATGAGATAGCAATTCAAAGCAAGTTGCAAGACCAAATTCCTGACCTTAGGAACTCACCAGGCAGCTACTGTTAAAGCGAAAGAGTATCCGAAGTTCATCTTCCAAAACAATACACCTAAACAGCGGATTCCCTTGTCTTGGATCTCTGAGAGTCAGAAACTCATCGCTCAACGAATGTTGAGTCGAATTGTTGAGTGCGTTTAAACACCCCGATTCAACATCACTAAACATCATTAAGCATCACTAAACATCACTAAACATCAGTAAACATCACTAAACATCACTAAACATCACTAAACATCACTAAACATCACTAAACATCACTAAACATCACTAAACATCACTAAACATCACTAAACATCATTATACAAATGTTGAGCGATGTTCAGTGAAATGTTGAGAGCGTTTTAACGGGGCTTTAAATGTATTAACTGTAAGGGGAAAATAAAGTTTTAGAGTAAAAATTATTGCCTAATTGTAACGACTGAAGAGGAAACTCAATTCTGAAAATCTGAAGGTCTTCCGTGCGACCTGTGCGACACCTGTATCCGCTTCTTCGGCCAATGTTGCACCTTTTCCACATCTGCGCGCTTAATTTGCATAAAGAGACTGGGGCGTGATATTAGGTGAAAAAGTTGCCAATGTGTACATATGGATACTGCGTTTACTTGCGAATAATCACTGCTCGAATGGACATCCAAAGGATTCAAAATTTGTGGATTTTTGTATTTTTCATCTTCTATAGTCTGTTTTCTCAAGTACAGCTGTTTTATGTTTCTTTTAACGAATGATTAGCTGATTAATTTTGTTCAGTGAATCAGCTCAAGTTCGTTCGTTTGTTGGCGTTTTCTTTCATGTCTCTTTAGTAACCTCGTATTCCTGTCCCAACCAAGTTCACAACAACAGATTTGTATTATAAGTAAGCTGCACAGGCACAAATATATGTATTTCTTTAAAGAAAATTTATCGTAAGTTCATCTTACATTATTTCGTTGCATTTAAGTTGCATTTTATTTAAAAGCTGTGGTTTAATTGGAATCTTGCACCACCAAATACCAAAGGCAAACTCCACCTACCCCAAAGGCATTGCACTTTAAAATTATGTTAGAAAGTGCCTATGTTGCATGGAAGTTTCTCTGCTTTCTAGTTATTCAGAAACTATGCTGGCAAAGTCGGTGACAGAATCATTTGAAACAAAGCAAATACCAGTTGTTTGAAAGACCTTTGGTAAGAAAATGCTTTTTCCAAACGAAGTAATTATTGTTTTTTCTTCGTGCTAGGAAATTCTTAGCAAGTTTTATCGCTAAAATTTTTTATGTTCGGCCTTAACGCTCATCTTCTATTTGAAAGCTTTTGCTGACAAAGTTGTTGAAACTGATCCCCTTAAAGAAACTTCCATGCCAGTTTTAGTGGATAAACAGCGCGTCTTATCGATGACTTACTGTTCTGCATCTTATCAAGAAGACTCTTTCATGAATTTTTTATACTGCGGCGGAAAATGCGCACAGTTGCCTAATCGATTCCGATCTTAAATAATATTTCTCGCAGATTTGTAATTTAGCTCCTCCGGCTTTGGATTGAATCATGTGTTTTCTACTTTAATCCTGTCTCTCTCGGCTTGAGCTTTTAAATTGACTGTTTTAATAAGCTTCTTAATTGCCAAGTTAGTCTGCCCTAAAAGGATCTAGACCTTTCTAAAACTAGAGAAAAAAACTGCCATAATCTAGAAAGAAATTAGGAGAGGGGAGTAAAGAAAATGTTTGGTTTTGTTCGTGAATAGCTATAAAACTTTGAACATGAAGTGAATAGCTATACGTGGAGGACTCGATGTCAGGTATACCTGTCTTCAGGTATACATTTTCATTTGTTCTACTGCTTGTATTTGAAGAAATATACAAAAACCATGCCAGAGAAAGAATACAAGCAATGCAAGAATTTATAGATTACCCCTTACCATTTCAACCCTTTTTGGGATGAAAATATATTTTCTTAAAAAAACTCGAATGATGTCAATTTGTGATCTTAGATGAATTATCAAAGAAAGGTATCTGTTCAATAAAGGCTCCACATAAGACCTGTTACATTGCCGTTCTCCTTTAGCGTCACCACTGACTACATGCATGGTTTTCTTGTCAATGGAAGGTAATCTTACGCTGTTTTGTGATACAGGCGGCACGTAGTATTGCATGTATTTTCTGATCTGGTTCTTCTAGAGACTGCTTAAAAGATACATTACAGGTTTACACAAAGACACTTTTCTTTCGTAATTCGAGGGTATATCGGGGTACCGTGAGCTACTTTCGTAGAAATTTGTTTTTTGCATAACTGCTGAATTTGCCAAAGGCATCTAGCACGCTCATTAATTTGCAAGATCAAATGCAACCGTTACTTTCTCTCTTTAAAGTTTCAAGCATTATCGATTTGAAACAATTGGCTTTTTGGTTACAGGCGCGGATCCATCCTGGTTTCTGACCTATGTAATGCAGAGGTTGTCAGAAAGAGAAGCCATGCCCTTTTGTATTGGAAACGCTCAAATTTTTCTGAATAAAATCGGTATCACTGATTTTGAATGGGGGGTTCCAAAAAAGAATTCTAGAGAAACGACTAGCAAAGAGCAGAAAAAACATCTGAATTGCCCGGTAGGATTTGAACCAGG